AGAATAGTAGAAAATAATTATAAAATTTAAGCACTTTTGAATAATAACAATTTGTTTTTTATCTAACAACTTGTGTATGTAATATATTTACAAGTCGTGTGAATACAAACTACCAACAAGCACTAATAACATAGTAACAATATGTAATATAATCTTATCTTTAGTAATAATAATAATTATTATTACATAAGTGTGTATGATTTGTAAGAATTCAATAAACGTCTTATCTATCTGTCTGTATATCTATCACATTAGACTATTATTTACAACAATTTTTATAGCACATTAAGTGGGTAGTGAGTTCGAAGTCTGCTCAATAAAAACAACAACACGTGGTCGTCCCAAAATAGTCGGTGTCACACGTCGCTTTACAATCAGCTGATACGCATATCTTCACGACTTATATCGTATACGAGGTAGACAGAGGAATTGTCAACTTCACCGAAAATATTAAATAGAACTGTCGTGTTATTCAAATAAAAAAAAAACAAAAATAATTTAGGAAATTTTAGCCGCTTATAAATGTAAAATTTTTTATATTATAATTTTTTCCCTACCGTCCATTTCAGTGTATAGATCTAATTGAGAAGAACTGGCAAGAAACTCAATTGAATTACTATTTTAAAAGCCAGTTTATTTACAATGTATGTTTATATAGATGTCTATGTCTAACATTAAATGAAAATCCCGCACATGAACAACTATTGCCATGCACGCTCGTCATTCAAGTAATCGTTTAGTGAGTAATAGGCTTTGCTCAGTAAACATGATTTAACAGATGTTTTGAACTTATTTAAGGGTAATTCCAGTATATCCTTTGGTAGCTTATTGTAAATTTTGATACCTATTCCCATAAAAGACCTATTATTATTAACTAGCTGCGCCCCTGACTTCGTCCGCGTAAAATGACGATATTTCCATATAATTCATATCGCCTTTCAACCCCTTGCAACACTTTTTTCGCATTAAAAAGGATCTAGACTATCTGTGTACCAAATTTCATTTAAATCGCTTCGATGATTTCGGCGTGAAAGCGAGACAGACAGACAGAGTTACTTTCGCATTTATAATATTAGTAAGGATCAAGGATAAGGCAGCCTTATTGCTGAAAGCAATTTTACATTACAAACGGATAGTTTAGTATTTTTTTGTATAGATATATGAAAATCTAGTCCCCAAGTCCAGTCTCAAGGCTACACGTGACACGAAACTGACTTGTGGTAATAGTAAGAAGGGCTAAATTCGTTTAGTGACGAACCCCGAATCCAATTAATGAGGCACCGCGGCGACGGCGGCGGCGGACGGTGAATACCACCCCTTATTTACTTGCTGCATACATTACGTTGGGTTGGAAGGATTTAATAGCGATATGGTGGACCTATCAATATTATTATAATAGTCAATTTGCCAGAAAAAAAGTTAAACGTGTCATAAAATATTTTCTTTGTAAAAAAGCTTTAGTATTATTATTGGTCTGTGTGTTTTCTATGTATATATTATAAAATTGAAGAATTTATAAATATTGGGAAGTTTTCAAATAATAGTTCAATGCAGATGTACTTGTTTTATTTAGTTCTCCAATTACAGGAATTGCACGACTCACTAATATTAATTGTTTATCCAAAAATATATAATATCTCTGTTATCTAATGCGCTGCCTTTAAACAAGAATGGCCGTTACCTTTTTTTTACAATGTTGGTGGTGGCTTTACAGTGACGCCACCAACATCACAATAATAATATTCTTACTCTATGGTTTTAAATTTAAAATGTAAGCAATTAATTACGTTCTCTATACATTGAAGCTAACATAAATGATAATAATGTTTTGTAGAAAATATCTAACTTGAAATTCATAGCGCTGACAATGTTATCTAATTGAACAGAGATTAAGTTCGTAGCGGTTTCTATGTTGATTGTCGTATGTATAATCCTTATTGTTAATTAAATATAAGTAAATCAATATTTATTTAAAAGAGCAACACACAAGTTTCTTGCTTATTCTTCTTGTGATGAGTCTGCATTCCGAATAAGCGGTAGAATAAAAAAAACTTGACTATTCAAAAGTGCTTATATTAAGTTTATTTGAATAAAGATTATTTCTATTTCTATTTCTATTTCTATCCAGAACTATACATTTGAAACTATACTAATACTGTCTGAAATCCAGCGCTGTATAGGTGCACCTCATTGCCAGTATATGTGCCTCCTATATCACTCAATGAGAATACACTTAACCTTGTTTCCAATTTTAAATATCTTGGACATATTGTTACATCCGCATTAAAATATGATTATATTGTATTGTATTGTATTGTATGGTATATTGGACTCCAGTCTTATTAAAATATGATATGTTACATATGAATGTGGATGGTTATAAGGGCAGAGGAAGGCCGAAAAAGAGATGGATGGACTGTGTGAAAGATGATATGATAAGAAAGGAAGTAAATAACGCGATGACTGCGAACAGGGATGAATGGAAGAGAAAAACATTTTACGACGACCACAAATAAATGGGATAAGGAAGAAGCAGATGATGATAGAACGTGAAAGAAGAGCATAACTAACAGAGTTAGAAGTAATATGTTGGCACGCAGGTTTGCTCGGTGTACAAAACAAGTCAAAATAACACTTTTTTTGTCAGGTTTTCTACACTGGTGGCTTGTGGGTCAACTATACTCAAAAAACCTACAATGTTCTTCGTGTTCAATATAACAATGCCTTTCGGGTACTGTTGGGGCTGCCCCGCCACTGCAGCGCGTCACATATGTTTGCACAAGAGCGCACAGACGATTTCTATGCTATACGGCGGAAGCGAATAACATCCCTATTAGGCAGAGTGCGGGCGAGTTCCAACAGTGTCCCGAAGGCAATTGCTTGTAAAATAGACTGTCCCATTCTAAGACACAGGATGGGATAGGTGATATGTTAAAAGTTTTTAAAAGACTTCGTCCGCGTAAAATGAAGATACTTCCATATAATCTTTCAACCCCTTGCAATTTTCGCATTAAAAAGTAGCCTATGTCCTTTCTCAGGGTCTTGACTATCGGTGTAACAAATTTCAATTAAATCGTTTCAGTAGTTTTGACGTGAAAGCGGGACAGACAGACAGACAGAGTTACTTTCATATTTATAATATTGGTAAGGAGTAAGGATGTAGCGAAAAGCAAACTAGCTTACATAAAGCTAGTTTTTACCTGCGAATTCGCCCGCAAAATCAGATATATTGATTGACCGGGATAAAAGTAGTGGATGACCTTGTCGAACCCAAATACTACGAGTATGCCAAGTTTCGTGACGATTGACTGAGTCAATAGGTAACAGACAAACAAACATTCAGTGATGCTAATAGACAGTCACACGTATCTACTTATTTGACGGCCCCGGTGGTCTACCGGTTTAGCACACCGCCTTACTTCCGATGGTCGCGGGTTCGATTCCTCACAAAATCCTAATCAATTTATCTAATCATTACATAGTATAAAACAACGTCGCTGTCGCTGTCTGTCCGTCCATATGTGTGTAAATCTTTAAAACTACGCAACGGATTTTGAAGCGGTTTTTGTTATTAGATATGATTGTTGATGATTCAAGAGGAATGTTTATATATATAATACATGTACACCCGTGCGAAGCCGGGGCGAGTAGCTAGCAGATCTATAAATCGCGTGTCATGGCTGGCCATCACTTGCGTGCAATATGCACTTGAATATATTAACAATTATTGGTGCAAGTGATCTCAATATCCGTTCAATTTGTATAGATCAACTAGCTGACCCAACATTGTTTTACCATATAAATTGAAGTACCAGTAATAATAATTATTATCATTACATAGTATAAAACAAAGTCGCTGTCGCTGTCTGTCCATATGTACGCTTAAATCTTTAAAACTACGCAACGGATTTTGAAGCGGTTTTTTTTAATAGATAGAGTGATTCAGGAGGTTTATATGTGTAATACATGTACACCTGTGCGAAGCCGGGCTAAATAGCTAGTTTATAGTATAAAACAAAGTCGCTGTCACTGTCTGTCCCTATGTATGCTTAAATCTTTAAAACTACGCAACGGATTTTGAAGCGGTTTTTTTAATAGATTAGAAGAATAGAAAATAATTTATTCAAATAAATTTACATTGAAGCACTTTTGTATAGTCATCACATTTTTTTTAATCTACCGCTCATTCGGAAACCTGTCTCATCACAAGAAAGAAGAACGAGAAAGAAACTTGCGTGTTGCTCTTTTAAAATTTTTTCTTGTTACTTTACATTTTTAAGTTTAAGTGTGTAGTAGTGTGTGAAAAATAATAGTATGTGAACACATATAGATAGAGTGATTCGAGAGGAAGGTTTATATGTCTAATACATGTACACCTGTGCGAAGCCGGGGTGGCTAGTATCTAGAAGCTAGTATCGCTATAAAAATAATAGAGGTTGACCGTAAAAGTTGAAAGTTGTTTGTATTTTTCAATGATAAATCATAATAAAGTAAAAAAAAAATGTATCAATTTATAGCCTATGTGTTATTCTAATGTATAGGCTATATTTTTGAAAAGTTACATTAAAATTGATTCAGTAATTTTTGCGTGAAAGAGTAACAATCACAACAGTGTGGTAAAATGGATGGAACATTCTTCTACACTGATAGACTCTCCTCCGATAGATTTCCCTGGTTTAGCCGAGATTCGAACCCCTAGCGGTGCCCTCAGACTAAAGTCGTATCCGTCAGGCGGAAGTTGGCCTTCAGCCGCGCCTGTCGTGGAGATTTTTGAGATCGGCTTTTGTTCAGCAGTGGACATCTTCCAGCCTGAAATGATGATGATGATGCCGATTATCGTGGAGATTTTTGGGGAGGCATGTGTTCAGCTGTGAGTGCCTTCCGGCTTGAAATGATGATGATGATGATGATGCTGATAATCGTGGAGATTTTTGGGGGAGATCTTTGTTCAGCAGTGAACGTCTTCCGGCCTGAAATGATGATGATGATGTTGTTTCCAGGTTATGGCTGGTTCCAATGGCTGCTGCTGATGTCATGCGGTGCCATATACGCGGTCTGCGCACTCAGCACCACAACCCTGAGCTTCGTGCTGCCGGCAGCTGAAAATGACTTCGAGTTGTCTTCCAGTGACAAAGGGAGTCTGACTGCCACGCCTCTCATAGGTAACTCACCATCATTTGATAACATTATAGTCTGAAGGACTTGCGACTTACATATAAAGGGTCGTGAATTATACAATATTTTAAATTAAATGACACTTCACTGATCTCCCCGTCCAATTCAAACTGGCATCCAAGTTACGACGGCCTAAGCCGAAATTAGAATAATAGTGCCTTTAGACTAAAGTTATATCTTATGGAGTAGGTTTTCCGTGGTTTTGAAGTGCCATCTGCACTCGCCCCCTATCATTCAGGTAAAGGCCAGTTTCGGCCAAACTGATCGATGGTAAAAATTAGCTGTAGATATGTAGTAATATATATTTTTTAATGATTACTTAAATATATATATTAACATGTGTATTTGCTTAGAACCAGGAAACATTGATTTGCTATTAAAAATTGCCAGTAAATAAATAATAATTTTTGTAGGGATGTGCGTGGGGTCATATTTCTGGGGCAATTTAGCTGACGCCCGGGGCCGTAAGAAGGCCATCATCGGAGCCCTACTACTGGACGCCCTTGCAGCTTTCCTCTCCAGTGTTGTTCAGTCATTTCCAGCCTTTTTGGCTTGCAGGTATCTTTACAATTACATTATATTACTCTACTTATTTTTTTTTAAAGAAGTATGTATTAGTGTTGTTTTTAAAAATATGTTGTTTTAATTATACATATTATTCAGTAACAGAGACTTTCAAAATCCTTCTTTATTTTTCAAATAGTATTTATTGAAAATTATATTATACGCAATTAGGATACAGAATAATACAGATTACAGATAAAAACATAATACAGAATAGACATATTATTATTATTCCCTTCATATCCTTTAGATCTATTATATATACCGAACTGGACGGTAGGGAAAAAATTAAAATTATAATGTAAAAAATGTGACGTTCATAAGCGGCTAAAATGTCTTACATGAATAAAAGATTTTTGAATTTGAATTTGACAAATTAAAAAAATATACATCTAGACATATTTTTCTCTTTTTTCACATAAGCAGAAGCAGTTATAGACACATATAAAAAGATATAAGGTGACCAGTAAGATGATAACAATGCATTAAGAGTACCAGCGTTACATGTCTGCTTGCTTGTATTATTTGTTTCATAAAAATAACTGTATTCTACCCAAATGAGAATTAAAGAGAGTTGTCTAATTCTCTTCAATTCTCTATCCTAGTTTCAAGTGCAGTCTTAATATTGCAAATGTATAAAATTATCCTATCATTGAAAAGAGAACGATTAGAATAACTATGTAATGTTATGTTATCTTGAATTTCTTACATAGAAACTATAGAATCTTGATAGGTTATCATTTTGTCCTCAATTTGTTTGATGTGCCATTACACATATGGTCTTTCGCGCGCAAATCTTCTCTCACGCAGGAAAGAATGAGCTTGTAATGGTAGACAAAAAGAATGAGAATATTCATGAATAACTACGGTCATTAATTATATAATATCTGTGGAAAACATAATTATTGAATTACTGATAAATTATAAATCCTTATCAGATTTGTGGAATAAAAAATGCCATTACATGATATGAATCTTTCGCGCGCAAATCTTCTCTCACGCAGGAAAGAATGAGCTTGTAATGGTAGACAAAAAGAATGAGAATAGCTTTCTTAAGCACGGTCATTAATTATATAATAATCTGACCTCACAGCAAAAACATAATTATTGAATTACTGATAAATTATAAATCCTTAAAGTGTCTGTGGAATAAAAAATAACTGTAATGATATGAATCATACACGCAATCACTCGCAAACACAAAAACTAGTTTAATGCAATCACTCACGATTGCACGCACTGGCTTTTCCGGGCGAAACAACGGTTGGGTCGTGTACTGGCAGATTTTGTGTACTTTACATACACACTCTTTCCCGCGTGAAAGGCGATTCGCGTGCAAAGGAGCGTCAGTGTAAAGGCAGAAGAATAATTTCGGTTCGGTTAGACGTTATTTAAATTACAAAACCGTCAACTTCATGGAATCACGCACGATTGCAAGCACTGACTTTTCGCGCGAAAGGACGAGTCGTGTAAAGGCAGCTTTTGTGTACTTTACATGCACACTCTTTCCCGCGTGAAAGGCGATTCGCGTGTAAAAGAGCGTCAGTGTAAAGGCAGAAGAATAATTTCGGTTATGACGTTATTTAAATTACAAAATCGTCAACTTCATGGTAAGAGCGCGTCCCATATCTTCCATTGTTGACGTAACTATTCGTTGTAGATTTACCACGTTTGCAGATTCTTCTCCGGTTTCGGCATCATCGGTGCCACGGGGCTCATCTTCCCGTACTTCGGGGACTTCCTCTCGCTGCGTCATAGAGACGTGATGCTGTGCCGGCTGGAAGTGTTCTGGACCCTCGGCACTATACTTCTGCCGGGTGAGTTATAACTAAAATGTTTTTTTAAACAAGCAACTCTTTATCATACTGATAGACTAGTCTCTTCCTATATCATTTAGTGTCGGCTCTCCTAGACATTCCTCGCCAGGCACATCTGTCTTAAGTCGTCGAATCCTAAACCTCTTTGCGCTGGTGTTAAGGTTTAAGATATATTTACGAACACATGTCTATATTATACCCCTTTCTTATCCGCGATTTCAATCATTTCCCATATCTTCTTAAATATATATAACTCAAACGTGACTGACATAGTGATCTATCAACGCACAACCCAAACCACTGGACGGATCGGGCTGAAATTTGGTATGCAGGTAGATGTTATGACGTAGGCATCCGCTAAGAAAGGATTTTTATTAATTCTATCCCCAAGGGGATGAAGGTTTGTATGAAACTTTGTCAATTTTAAACCGATTGGGCTGAGACTTTGCATGCATTAAGCTACTATGATGTAGGCATCCCCTAAGAAAGGATTTTGATAAATTCCACCCCTAAGGGCGTAAATAACGCGAGCGAAGCCGCGGGCAAAAGCTAGTATATATATAAAAGGGTATCTTCATTCTTATGATTTCGTAATATTTGATAGACTATACTCACATAATTAATAAAGAATTTGTTTTAATACAGTACCGACACTTTCTTATCCATTTTGCAGTACAAAAAGGCTGTAGAAGATACGTAATATAAAGCTGTACTTAAAATGATATTACTTTAGAGAAAAACTATTTCTACTTTATGGTTTGTTTTGTACTAATTATAGAAATTAGAAAAATCGTACCCAAGCTCAGGTTTCGTTTGATACACATTAGATATGCCCGCGGTTTCTTTCGGGTTTCATGATATTTATAGCCTATTTATTATTTTATATATACTGTTTATTTATAAAATAAAGTTTTATTAAGTTTCTTAAAATAACGAATTTGATATGAATTTTTTTACACCTTTGTTACCTGGTACCTGCCAAAGGAACCACGATCCAGGTTTCATGTTTGGGGATCGTTCTTTCCTGTGTTGGGGACACAAATCCTTCAAGTAGTTTTTGCGTTAAAGACTAACAAACATCCATACAGCCTTGTATCCAGTAATAATCGCAAACTTTAGCGATTATAATATTAGTAAGATTTCTACACGTCCCGAGATATTTTCTACACTTTCTTATGTTTTCACAGATGCTATATATGTCTTCGATCACCTAACAAGAGTGATAATCCAAAGGTTTCTTCCAGGTATCGCGTACGGCATCATCAGAGGCGAGACCTTCAACCTGACTGCAGAAGGCTCAGACTTCAAGTACAGTTCGTGGCGGGTGTTCGTCGCAGCCTGCGGCATCCCCAGCCTCCTGGTGGTGCTACTTCTCATCCCCTTCCCGGAGAGCCCCCGGTACTTGCTTCATGCGAACAGAGCTGAGCAGGCGCTACATGTTCTGCAGAAAATCTTCGTCGTGAACACTAAGTTGAATGAAAAAGACTTCCCTGTGAGTTAAACCAACTATTAGTTTTGTTAACTAAGACATTATATCTCTATAACCTGTATTCTTTTATTTTTTACTAACTATACTCGCGACTTCGTCCGCATGGAATTTAATAAAAAAGTTAATTAGAGAATTTTTCTAAAATAAAAGTAGATTAAATTACTCCTTATTACATCAGCTACCTGTCAATAAAAGTCCCGTCAAAATCGGTCCAGCCATTTCAGAGATTAGCCAGAACATATAGACAGACAGACAGACTGACAAACATTTTAAAAAGTGGTTTTTTGGTGTATATTCCGTATTTATATTCATATGCATGCAGTAAAAAACGGTTATTTCAATATTACAAACAGACACTCCATATTTATTTGTATGTATAGACTAGCTGTACTCGCAAAAATTGTAAAATATGTTATTTTCGTATTTATATTCATATGCATGTAGTAAAAAATGTAATTATTTACAAAAAAAAACTATGTATTTGTATCAGTCATCTAGTACCCATAACACAAGCTTTAGCTAGCTGAACTTGGGTCTAGATGGCGCTGTGTGAATAGTCCTGAGGTTATAGATTTAATGACAATTAATTTTAGATTGAATCGATGATAAGCGGAGGTGATGGTGATGAAGAGGAAGTGGTATCAGCAGATAACAACGGCAATGAGACGAAAGCTCCCCTGACCTGGAACCAGCGTTGGCAAGCCTTTTGGATCCGAAAGAAGATGCTGGTGACTCCGCCGTACATAGGCCTCCTGGTGCTCTGCTGTTTTGTTGACTTCGGTCTTATGTTCAGGTACTATAGTTTGTTTTAAATTGTAGATATTTTTACGTTATCGGAATGGCAAGCAGGCTGATTGATCACTTGTCCAATTCAAACGGGGATCGAAATTACGACGGCCTGAGCCGAGGATTCAAACCCTTCAGCCTTGGCATTCAGCCGCTCCATAAGTCCTTCCTTGGTTTGGAGTGCCATCTGCACTCGCTCCCTATCGTCCGGTGAAGCTGTAAAGGCAGCTGGCCTGGCGTGACCAACATCATTAGAGTAGTCCGAAAAGAAAAATCTATTTGACGGTAAGCGGTGATCGTCGCCTATATAGCAATATGCCTAAGGCATCACGTTATCATGTGACAGCCGTGACACTGTTCAAGGGTCACCATTAGACCTTCCAGTGCACAGTAAACCTGTATGGGGTTCGTCCGGGAAACCATCGCGACAAATTCCTGATGATGACAAATTTGTCACGATGGGCTAACTGACCTGACCTCGTTGCTCATCTTATCATCCTCCACTGGTGTCCAGAGCAAACCGTTAGCGCAGGAGGATGCACCATTTCATTACCATCCATTATAAAGAAATTGGATTAAATGGCTGTATGTGAAGTCCAGGGTTATTATATTTTATTTATTCATTTATTTCGGATATCCATCCATAAAATGTTAATTAAAAAAAATTCAAAAATCATTTATTCACTTTTTAGCCGCTTATGAACATATTTTTTTTATATTATATATTTTTCCCTACCGTCCAGTTCAGTATACAGATCCAATTAAGAAGATCTGGCAAGAAACTCAATTGAATTACTTAATTTGTTACTTACAGCCGATCGATCCCTTGTCCAGCCATTTAGATATTTTATTAAATATATTTAAAGACTTATAAATAAATAAATTATATTAATCTTCTTTATATATATATATAAATTTCGTGTCACGATGTTTGTCGCGATGGACTACTAAACTACTGAACGGATTGCAAATTTGATTTGCACATTCTGTGCAATTCGATCCAACTTGAAAGATCTAGACACGCGGCAGCGTGTCAAGCCGAGTTTCAAGTAAACTGGCAAGCAGCACCGTGTGTATATTTACACGAACCATTTGGAGCCACTTTTGATCCCCTCATAACTAAAAAACTCCTTCACATAAACCTCCATCCATCTATCAAAAACATCAACATACATCTATCCAAAACTAGCCAAGTTAGAACTTAGGCTACAGTATATTATCCTAATTTATAAGAAGAAATGATATTTTATATTGTTATAAATACATTTCAGGACAGACCATTGAACTTGGCACCCATTTAGATCTCACCTCTTTTGTCGTAGAAGTCAACAATCAAGGCATATATCATAATATTAAACTCGGCTATCATTTCACATTTATGTTTTTGATGGGATTATTTTATTCAAGTACCTTAGCCACAGCAACGCGTGGCCGGGTCTGCTAGTATATTATAATAATCTGATATCTACCTGTATTGTTTTCCAGTTACTACACATTAATGATGTGGTTTCCGGATCTGTTCGAGAGATTCAGCCAGTTCTCGTCTCTGTACCCCGACGTGTCTGCCGGAGTGTGTGAGGTCTCACTCAAAGTCCGAAACGAATCTAATAATTTGCTGGTGAGTTGTTTAATAAGTAAATTATAGATACTAACTGTAAATTTAGAGGTGAGTTTATTTGTAACTAAATTATATTAGAAAATAGATGTATAATTTTGAGGTGAGTTATTCTATAATCAAATTATATAGATACTAACTGTATAATTTTGAGGCTAGCTGTTTAATAACCAAATTATATAGATACTAACTGTATAATTTTGAGGTGAGCTGTTTAATAACCAAATTATATAGATACTAACTGCTATTTAATAACCAAATTATATCATTTTGAGAGTTGATTAATAACCAAATTATATAGATACTAACTGTATAATTTGCTATTTAATAACCAAATTATATAGATAATAACTTTGTAATTTTAATAATAATCAAATTATATAAATACAACTATATATATAGATAATAACTGTACATTTTGGAGGTGAGTAGTTTAGTATCCAAATCATATAGATACTAACTATTACTAAATAGGCTGGTTCGCGCAGGGGGCTGCATTACATTCTGATTAAACTTTGAACGAGTTAATGAATATATTCGCGTAATTTTTCACAAATAAATATAATTAGGTACAAAACTCTACAAATTATAAACAATTCCGAATAACATTTCTTATTTCTTACAGAGCAAATCCGAGTCCCTGGATGATAATGTATATACGCACACGTTACTTGTCGCTCTGAGCTGTCTGCCTACAGCTCTGTGTCTTGGTATTACCATCAACTTAGTGGGCAAGAAGCTTATGCTTGGTAAGAAAACTCAAAATATCTTTATTCATGTAGGTCTATTATAGACTCTTATGATATGTCAAATATAATCGTGAACGAGTGCTGCTTGTAGGGACTGGTCTGCTCTTATCACTACGACTGATTTAATCTTATTGTGTTTTTATATTTGAGCCTAAATAAATTAGTGCTGGTTGGTAGTTTGTATTCACACGTTTCGACTTGTAAAATGTGAACTTACAACGATTGTTTAAAAGAGCAACACACAAGTTTCTTATTCTTCTTGTGATGAGAAGATCTGTTTGTCTGTCTGTTTGTTTGAATAAATGATTTTCTATTCACTATGGACGCCGAAACCATTGAACCGAAACTATGTCATTACATAATATAAAACAAAATTTATTACATAAAACAGATAGTTATAGCCATTACCTACTGACAAAGGACATTTTAATGCATTTTCAACTGAATTTCAAGAGACGGTTATCTTTATCCTTACTAATATTATGAAAAGTAATATGTTTGTCATCTGTTTGTCATTTTACGCGAAACCATTGACGTTAAATCGAAATTTGGTACACAGATAGTTTAGACCCTGACAAAGGATATAGGCTACTTTTTAATGAAATAAGGGTTGCTGTGTATTTTCTATGTATATTATGTATTAAAAAAAATATCTTCGTATTTATATCAGTTGTCTAGTACCCATAACACAAGCTCTGCTTACCGTGGGCCTAGATGTCGCTGTGTTAATTGTCCAGGGTTATTTATTGTTGTCTTTTCTCTGTTTGTCTGTGACAGTGATGATGCTTATCAGTTCGGGCCTGGCTGCACTTGGTTTGAACTTGGTGCGCTCCTCGCTCGAGAACCTGATCCTCTCCTGCGTATTCGAGGCGATAGTCAGCTGCACAGAAGCTGTGCTGTTCTGTGTTATTTGTGAAATATTCCCCACCAAAGTTGCGTAAGTATTCAAATCAAAGTTTAGGGCGCTGATATACAGTCGGTAGTAGTCAAGTTTGTGTCTTACTTGGACACTATAAATGTCAGTTACCTGGTGCAACTTTTAGTCTGATGGACTTAGAAATCAAAAACCGACTGTATATCAACAACCTTAATCGTAATTGTAAATTAATTGTAATATCCTAGTCATTTTTGGTTTTCCGTCGTGTTACAGATGCAAAGGTCGCTAGAATAAATCCGGGTGACACAATAACTGTTGAGGCTCCCTACTCTGTCATTTAGCTATATCTTACTCTGTAGACCGAAGTACAGTTTACAAAGAAAGCTGATTGAGACTAAAAATAGAAAAAAGTACAATTTTAGATTTTGGTACTAAAACTGGCCATTGTTGTTTGGTGATCGAAATAACGATGGCCTGAGCCGATGTTCAAACCTTCTAGGTTCGAGCGTCAAAAGCATTAAAGTAAAAAATACTATACAGTAGTTTCATTGTCATTTATACCAAGTCACTACATTTGCATCGAAACTAGCATTTGGTACTAGAAGTGTCGTTTGGTGCTAAAACTGGCGTTTGGTGCTAAATCTAGAATTTGATGCTAATACTGGCGTTTGGTGCTAAAACTGGCGTTTAGTGCTAGAACTGAAGTTTGGTGCTTGGAGTTTTTAAAACTTTTGTTAGTTTTAAAACTTTGGTGCTAGAACTGGAGTTTGGTGCTAAAACAGTCTTTTGGTGCTATAACTGGAGTTTGGTGCTAAATCTGGTGTTTGTTGCTAAAACTGGCATTTGATGATAAAACTGGTATTTGGTGATAAAACAGTCTTTTGGTGCTATAACTGGAGTTTGGTGCTAACTGGTGTTTTGGTGTTACCAATAGAGTTTAGTGCTGAAAGTGGCGTTTGGTGCTAAAACTGGTGTTTGGTGTTAAATCTGGCGTTTGGTGCTAAAGATGGTATTTGCTTGCAGTGCGACCGCAATGGCGGTGACGGTGATGTGTGGCCGCGTGGGTGCCATCGTCGGCAACGTGGTGTTTGGCGCGCTGGTCGACCACCACTGCGTAGTGCCTATCTACATGTTTGGTACTTTCCTCATAAGTAAGTACCTATATATTAAGTAATTATATTTTACGGCTTCGATGCTCTAGCGGTTTAACACGCCTTACTTCCGATGAGCGCGGGTTCGATTCCTGGCCTACAAACATTTTTATTCATGATTATTATTGTTTGTATGTATTTATGTATTTGTATCAGTTGTCTAATGCCCATAACACAAGCTCTTGGGGCTAGATGGCGCTGTGTGAATTATCCTGGGATATTAATAGAATAGAATAGAATAGAAATCATTTATTCAAATAAGCTTACATTGAAGCACTTTTGAATAGGCATCACATTTTTTTTTAATCTACCGCTCATTCGGAAAGCTGTCCCATCACAAGAAGAACGAGCGAGAAACTTGCGTGTTGCGCTTTTAAATAATTTTATTGTTACTTTACATTTTTAAGTTTAAGTGTGTGAATACAAACTAACAATTCAATTAAATAAAATCTAATCGTAATATTTCAATTTAGTCATTTATATTTTTAAGGTTTTTAATATAATTAGGTATAGATTCAAGAGTCTTTATTTGTAAAACATGCGTGGTACATAAGCAGATGTTATAACATATAGAAGGAATTTGTCCGACATGTTTATCCTAGATGGCATACAATATACTTAAATGCTACAATAAAATATTAAATTTAAATGTCAAATAATAATAAAAATAGAACAATATCATAATAATACAAAAACTATAACTTAAGTACATGTACTTAAGTATATAAAACTAATAAAATATTTTGTCAAATTTATCATCCAAAAAATTCAACTGTAATTACATATGTCAATCAACAACCTCTTTAATTTATATTTAAATACATTATTGGGAAGGTCCTTTAAGTATTTAGGTAACTTATTATATATTTTAGTTCCTATATGTCATACATAAACTTTGTCGTAGATTTTTTATACATAATTTGTCAATATCACGTCGATTGCGATTTACAATTTCAGAAAGTCGTGGATATAGGTATACGAAAGTTACAGTATTAGTTTTTTTTTATATTATATAGTTGATTAGTGTATTTTAGTTATTTTTATAGTTTACTCTCTTATGGAATGTTATTATGGGGAAAAGCGGCAGATATTAAAAACATATTTATATTACAAAAACGTGCCATTCGAGCGATCTACTGTATGAAGAGTCGTGACTCATTAAGAGAGAAAATATTCTCACCGTTGCTTCTCAATTTATATATTCAAATATCTTATATGTTCATAAAAATCTTGACTTATTTCCAAAAAACAGCAATATTCATAATATTAATACTAGATTTAAAGACAAACTTGCTGTCCCCAAGTATCGTTTAGAAAAAGTCAATAGGTCTTTTATGGGAATAGGTATAAAAATTTACAATAAGATACTAAAGGATATATTGGAATTACCCTTAAATAAATTCAAAACATCTGTTAAATCATATTTACTGAGCAAAGCCAATTACTCACTAAATGATTACTTGAATGACGAGCGTGCATGGCAATAGTTGTTCATGTACGGGATTTTCATTTAATGTTAGAAATACCTATACGTTGTAAATAAACTGGCTTTTAAAATAGTAATTCAATTGAGTTTCTTGCCAGTTCTTCTCAATTGGATCCATATACCGAACTGGACGGTAGGGAAAAAATATATAATGTAAAAACTTGACGTTCATAAGCGGCTAAAATGTCCAACATGAATAAATGATTTTTGAAGTTTGAATTTATAACTGAATGTAAACTGAAATGTTTGTCTGTCTGTTACAGCGAGTGGACTATTGTGTATAATCCTGCCGAAGAGCACGAGACCGGAGCGGCCGCAGTAACAATTTTGCGGATATTAATTACTGTTGTATTTTTATATGATTAAAATTATTATATTACAGACACAATACTGTGGTTTTACTTTCTTTATCTTTTATCCTTCTTTATTTTTTTAATCCCACAACAAAGGAGATACCTCTCGCGTACACTTAGATTGTGGAATGAACTACTGTGGAGACTACAGCATGGGGTTTTTCAAGAGGTATATTAAGGTTTCTTAAGGGTCGGCAACGCGCACGTGACACCCCTGGTGTTTCAGGCGTTCATAGTCTACGGTAACCATTTACCATCACATGGGCCGTATGCTTGTTTACCATCATAGTAATATAAAAAAAACGAGAAATAAAAAAAAATGTCCAAAAAATAGAAGTAAAATGTTAAGGGTGGACAACCCTTATCACTTAAGGGTATGAAAAATAGATAGTAACCGATTCTCAGACCTACTGAATAAAAATATAAAATTTCATCAAAATCGTTCAAGCCGTTTCAGAGGAGTATGGTAACACTTGTTAAACGAGAATTTGATATATAAGTTGTATAAAAAAAATCTTCGAAATTTTAAAACCCAGTATCTTCTTAAAAACTGTTCAGAACGTCCCCAGACTACAAAAACTAGGACATGTCCTGATAAAAGATGAACAGAGAGGTGGCAACACTAATATACCGTCCCAAGACAACAAAACTAGGACATGTCCTGGTAGAAGAGGACGGCTGGCAACACTAATATGCCGTCCCAAGACACTACACAACTAGGACATGTCCTAGTACAGAAGGAGCGGAGGTGGTAATGGTAAAACGAGCAGAAAGTTGGCAACACTAATATACCGTCCCAAGACACTACAAAACTAGGACATGTCCTGGTAAAAGAGGACGACTGGCAACACTAATATGCTGTCCCAAGACACTACACAACTGACATGGATGTGGATGATCCTAGCAATGTACCATGTCAGGTCGACCTCCTCGCGGTTCCCTCTGGGAACCATCGTGTTAAATTCCTGGTGAATTTGTCACGTTGCGCTAACTACCTGACCTCATGCTCATCTTATCATCCTCCACTGGTGCCCCGCCAGCGTAAACCGTTAGCGCAGGCGGGTGTACCATTCCATTATCATCCACAAAAAAAAACTAGGACATGTCCTAGTACAGAAGGAGCGGAGGTGGTAATGGTAAAACGAGCAGAAAGTTGGCAACACTAATATACCGTCCCAAGACACTGACAGACAGACAGCTGGCAACACTAATGTACAAACCTACTGATCAATTGAACAAATAACAATTAGTCCAGATTGAACATTATTGTTTGTGTAATTTCGAGCTCTTGTCTTTCTTAATATAATAATTATAATGTATTGAACATGCCTTCTATATACATATGTTATGTTGTACTAGCTGTACCCGTGACTTTGTCCGCATGGAATTTAACTTTATTTTTGTAAACCATAAGATTTTTTCTAAAATAAAAGTAGCCTAAATTACTTCTTACATCAGCTACCTTCCAATAAAGTCCCGTCAAAATAGGTCCCACAGAGATTAGCCGATAAATTTTAGAGATTTCAGAGATTAGGCGGAACAAACAGACAGACAGACCTACAGAAATAGTAAAAGATGTTATTCTGGTGTACCGTATTTATATTCATATGCATGTAGTAAAAGACGGTTATTTCAATATTACAAACAGACTAAGCTAAGGCTAACATACTAAATAAATTTATTCTAAAGAATTGCAAAAATAAAAATAAACTCCTTTGTACGATCCTTGATATAAAAACTTGTTATTATAATATAAAAAACAGATATATACTCCAATTTTTATGTATATATTATTAACATTAATTCAGTAGTGAAATCAATTTGATGACAAACAAACGTTGCTACATTTTAACAGTATGCGTCTATGCAAAATAGTAATCAAATTTCAAAAATAAGAAAATTAATAACAAAATGTCGTGTAACATCGGATATTATAAAAGTGAAGTGGAGTTCGATGGATGTGATAGAAGCGTTCAGAAGAATGACAATTGTTTAAATGTTAATGAAGATAAATATTATAGTTTGAATGAAGCATTGAATATAGCAGGTAATTGTATCTATGAAGGTCTTAGTGATCTAGCTGTTTAACACACCGCCTCACTTCTGATGGTTGCGGGTTCGATTCCTCGAAACACACTTGTATTTATGAGTATGCTTGTTTGTATCGGTCTGGGTGTTCTATCTATGTATATATACATATATATGCGGACCGGAAGACGCAGCGTGGAAGGCGTCCAGCAAGATGGACGAAGATTTGGTCAAGATCGCTAGAAAGCGATGGATGCGAGTAGCGCAGGACCAATCGTCTTGGAGATCTTTGGGAGAGCAGTCAGCAGTGGACATCTTCCGGGCTGAGTTGATGATGATGATATATATACATAAACATCCAGCAGAATGCGAATGTATAAAGATAGAGAGCACAGTAAGCAACAAAAGTGTATTAAAAAAAAGTGTGTTTATTGTGTTGTTATATGTATGTGTATATGACATGTAAATTTTACATCCAACAACTAATTGTTATACCTCGACCAGACACAGTCTAATCACTCCTCTCTATCCTAAGGTAGCCTGGAAGAAATCGCTAATTAGCGACAAGGCCGCCCATTGTCAATACATTATAATTATATTGTTTTTATTTTTATATTTGATGTACATATTAATTTATGTAATTATTCTTTCTGTGAGAGGAACATAGTGTTTTTCATTCATTCATTCATTTCATTAATTCATTTCGATCATTCATTTCGTTCATTCATTTCTTTCATTCATTTCGTTCATTCATTTCGTTCTTTCATTTCATTTCGTTCATTTCATTCATTCATGTCGTTCATTCATTACGTTCATTCATTTCGTTCATTCATTTCGTTCATACATTCCGTTCTTTCATTTCGTTCTTTCATTTCGTTCATTCATATCGTTCATTCATTTCGTTCATTCATTTCGCTCATTCATTTCGCTCATTCATTTCGTTCATTCATTTCATTCATTCAGTCAAAAGTGTATAGTTGCCTCTCTTTTAACATTAACATGAACCTCTTTCTTCAATAAGTGCCGTACAGGATGACGATGTTGTAGGTACAGGACGGTACAGCATCACACTCATGGCGGTGACTGCGCTGTCCATCCTGTCGATGTCTGTGGAAATGTTTGGTTTCTCCGTCATCATTGGTGGAGCCAGGTGTGAGTTCCAGCTGAGTTTAAGTCAGAAGAGCGCTTTGCTCTCAATGCCATTTATAGGTAATTTGAATTGTTTTAATTATTTATTACTTAACTAGTGCTTGGGCAACTCATCCATGCCCCTCATGGATGAGTTACCCCCTTTCCCATTAATATTCATTCAAGCAAAGGTCAGTAGTGCGAATGTAAAAATAACGAATAATACCGATTGTTTTACGAAAGATACCGAAGAATATCATCATCATCATCATCATCGCAGCCCGGAAGACGTCCCCTGCTGGACATAGGCCTCCCCCAAAGATCTCCACGACGATCGGTCCTGCGCTGCTCGCATCCAATGCCTTCCAGCGATCTTGACCAGATCGTCGGTCCACCTTGCTGGAGGCAAGAAAGAATATACTGACCTTTAAATAAATTCAAAACATCTGTTAAATCATATTTATTGAGCATAACCTATGACACACTAAATAATTACTTGAACGACAAACGTGCATGGTAATAGTAGTTCATGCACGGGATTTTCACTTAATGTTAGACAGACTTACATAAGTAAATGAACTGGCTTTTAAAAAGGACATTCAATTGAGTTTTTTGCCAGTTCTAAATTGAATCTGTGTACTCAACTGGGCGGTAGGGAAAAAATAATAATACAAAAATTTGACGATGAATTTGAATAATACAAAAATGTATATATGAATAAATAATTTTTGAATTTGTTAACTTTTATTCGAGTTTCTTGCCAGTTCTTCTCAATTGATTGTGTATATTGAAATGGATTGTAAGAAAAAATAACACAAAAATAAGCGGGTAATATGTCCTACATGAATAAATGATTTTTGGAATTTGTTAACTTTTATACTGAGGAACAGTTATAATTGAAGGACCTTCTTTTTTAATGCTATTTTAGGACCCGTGGTAATGTCATATTGGTGGGGATACCTATCAGATACCCAGGGTCGCAGGAAGAGCCTCTTGATAGCAATGTGGGGCAGCTTCGTGGTGTCTGCACTCAGTGCTTTGTCACCTCACTACGTAGTCACTGGGTTACTCAAGTTTGTGAGCACCAGTTTGTAAGTAATTATTTTTAAATTCCGTGTTTATCACACATCTTACAATATTATATTATATTTGACGACCTCGGTGGTCTAGCGGTCTAGCACACCGCTTTATGACCGATGGTCGCGGGTTCGATTCCTCGCACGGCACAAACATTTGTATTCATGAGTATGATTGTTTGTATCGGTCTGGGTGTTTTTTATATAATATGTATGTATTTACAAAAAAAAATTATCTATGTATTTGCATCAGTTTTATATGTATAATAATAATAATAATAATAATAATAATAATAATAATAATAATATTTGAAAATTTCTGTCTTCATCACATAACTCATCCATGCTTGGCTAAGGCCCGCGTGTTTGACTATATTACCCCCGTAAAAAGGGAGATATAATAAATATATATATATATGTAATAATAATAATAATAATAATAATAATAAAGACATTTATTCAGCACTAGCTGTTCCCGCGACTTTGTCCGCGTGGAATTAAACTTTATTTTTCTAAAATAAAAGTAACCTAAGTTAACCGCCTAAAAATGAAATATGTCAAAGGTTTTTTGAAGTTAATTTACGCAATACATTTCTGAACGCACCCTGTTTGACAGGTATCAGCAGTTTGTATGGGAACATAAAATTGTTGTTTTAACTATTTTACATGCAATTTCTTCATATTTTATCACCGTTTAAACCTTCCCTGGACTTCCACGAATATTTTAAGAAGAAAATTAGCCAAATCGGTTCAGCCGTTCTCGAGTTTTAGCAGGACTAACGAACAGCAATTCATTTTTATATATATAGATTACAGTATTCTTAGATGCTATCTATCTTATATACTATACAACTTAAAAGCTAAAAGCTAAAACATACTAGTAACGCTGAATGTGACTCAGTTATCTAGTACCCATAACACAAGCTTTAGCTAGCTTAACATGGGTCTAGATGGCGCTGTGTGAATTGTCCTGAGACTATTATTATTATTATTATTATATTATCTGTGCTAATATTATAATCGCGAGAGTGTGTGAGTATGGATGGATGGATGTTTGTTACTCTTTCAGACAAAAACTAGTGAATGGATTTTGATGGAACTTTTCAGTAATATAGCTTATACATCAGAATAACGTATGCCTATGTGTGTCGCGTTTATAATATTAGTGAGAGGTAAATTTCATGCAGGTAAAACCACGGCAACAGCTAATAATAATAATAATAATAATAATAAACTCTTTATTGTGCACATAGAAGAAATACAATAAGAAAAAAAACATATATAATATAAATATATATAACTCAAAGGTGACTGACATAGTGATCTCTCAACGCACAGCCCAATCCACTGAACGGATCGGGCTGAAATTTGGCATGCAGGTAGATGTTATGACGTAGGCATCCGCTAAGAAAGGATTTTGATTAATTCTACCCCCAAGGGGATAAAATAGGAGATTAAAGTTAATATGACACTTTGACAATTTTAAACCGATCGGGCTGATATTTTGCATGCATAAAGCTACTATGACGTAGGCATTCCCATAGAAAGGATTTTGATAAATTGATTGATTTGATAAATTAACGTGAGCGAAGCCGCGGGCAAAAGCTAGTTATTAATATAGGTATTTATTTCTCTCGACGTTTCGACTAGGTTGCACTGTATTAAACAAGCACTGCAGCCAACGGCAAAAGAATAATTCGAAAAAAAAAAATTGTTACACCCTCTTTAATTTTTTTATTTATGTAAATGTCAGTACATGCTAACTCTCGATTACTAGATGCAGTTGCGCACAATCCACAGGCTACGCCTTGCTAGGAGAAGGCTGCTCGCAGAAGGCCCGGGGACCTTTGATGCTGCTCATATCTTCGACTGTACACTTCTGTCCCATCACATACTTCAGTAAGTGCAATTTTGGAATCATTAATTTAATACGTGAAGAAAAACTTTCTATTCGTTTTACGAAAATTGTGCGGACCGAGGAGTATGAAATTACGTACACTTATAGTTACATGAAGTTTCGTATACCTTAGTTTGTATACAGAAGGTGTGCAAAATGCTGATATTTTTCTAAAATTGCGCACAAAAATTAATTACACACCATGTATTTAACACACACACGCATATATATATATATATATATATATTATTTTGCATATAGTTTGTATTTTTTACTATAGGCGAATTTAGACTACTGGGTGACTTCTTTAAACATATATCCTTAAGGTTCTCAACAGTAGCAACGACTTAAGCTGGCCGATAGTTTTAAATCAATCGACACAGAATTATATATGCGTAAGAGATAAAATAATTATATTTTTGACACGAATTATAGAATTATCCATTTATAGCATGGGTTCCAGGGAGTCTTTACGAGAGTGCTTTAAGGAATCAAATATCCTCACCGTTGCTTCTCAATACATTTATGAAAATATCATGTATGCCAGGAAGAATATACCTAGACAGTTTCAAAAGAGTTAGTGATTGCACCAATAAAAGCTTACGCAACAATAACAAACTGATTTTACCTAAAAGTCGTTTGGCTAAAGTTAGTAATTCGTTTTATGGCAATTGCGTAAGGTTTTAGAACAAATTACCAGAGTCTGTTATAAATCTGCCAGAAAAAAGATTTAAAAGCCAAATAAAACACTTCCTTTGCAAACAAGCTGACTATAAAATTGAAGAATTCGTTAACGAAAATAATGTTTTTATAGAAAAACTTAAAATCCATAGCACTGACTATGTTATCTGATTATCTGATTGTACTAATAATTAGTGCGTAGCTGTTTCTATGATGATTATCGCGTGCCTCTTACTTGTTATACTGTAATTATTTATAAAAAAAACATCGACAGAGTTTATTGGAATAAAGATTATTTCTGTTTCTATTTCACTCATATTTTATTAAATTATTATGTTTTTATTACTACATATAGCAGGGATGTTATGGATATGAATGTTCGTATACGGATACGTTTCGGATATAGTAATGATTATTATACCGGATGCGGATATGAAATTATTTCGGATTATCCGTTAGTTTCGGATAATTTCGGTTACGGATATGTTTTTAAGGAATTTCAAAATTAAATTACAAATAGCTAATAAAATTGTTACACAAAGCTTACGTGTTATTCTGATGTATAGTCTATACTATAATAATTAATAAAAAAAATATATATATTCAAATTCAAAAATCATTTATTCATGTAGGACATTTTAGCCGCTTATGAACGTCAAGTTTTTACATTATATGTTTTTTTCCCTACCGTCCAGTTCGGTATATACATCCAATTGAGAAGAACTGGCAAGAAACTCAATTGAATTACTTTTTTTTTTAATCCAGTTTATTTATAATGCATAGGTATTTATATAGGTGTCTATGTCTAACATTAAAAGAAAATCCCGTGCATGAACAACTATTGCCATGCACGCTCGTCATTCAAGTAATCGTTTAGTGAGTAATAGGCCTCAGTAACTATGATTTAACAGATGTTTTGAATTTATTTAAGGGTAATTCCAATATATCCTTTGGTATGTTATTGTAAAATTGTATACCTACTTATTGTAATTATATACAAAAATATATATAGATAAATATGTATACATATATAAACTTCTGTAAACATTTACGCATGTCGTGGCAATCAGTAATTAAGTCAACACTATATACCTGAACTTATTGCAAGTGATAATAATTATAATCTAACAGCTTATATCTTGTTGGTCGCTCAAATAAATAAAAAAATAGGTATAGAACTAGATTACCTGATATGTAATGTATACACTTTTTAGTTCTAGCCTATTACATCCTCAATAATGATGTTTTAATCCACCTGGGAACCGTCGCCATCTTACCCTGGAGGATCCTCGTCTTAGTTCTGGCTATACCACTGGGACTTAGTGCGTTATGCCTACACTACATCTATGAGAGTCCCAAGTTCCTCGCCAGCGTCGGCCGCAGCGATGAAGCTTTGGAGGTGTTGAGGAAAATGTGGTGCCGCAACGGAAATAAAGGTCCGTTTCCGGTAAGTTTATTATTTTTTAAGTTAGTATTTAAGCATACGGCCGGTCTGATGGTTCTACAAAAGAGTATCTTTTATTTTTGCACTCTCTGAAGTATAAAAGTCTTTTAGTATGTTAGCCTCAGCTGGCTTTGTAATTAATCTTACATCTATAGATATAAATTAAATTGGAGTGTCTGTTTGTAATATTGAAATAACCGTTTTTTACTACATACATATGAATATAAATACGGTACATTTTTTACATTTTTTTCTGTCTGTCTGTCTGTTTGTTCCGGCTAAATGAAATCTCTGAAATGTCTGGATCGATTTTGACGGGACTTTTTTTGACAGGTAGCTAATGTAATAAGGAGTAACTTAGGCTACTTTTATTTTAGAAAAATAATGTTAAATTTCACGCAGACTAAGTCGCGGATACAGCTAGTATAATAAAAATAATAAAAACATACCGCTTTATTGCCAATGGGCGCGGGTTCAAAAATAACATCTCAGTACAATTCACACAGCGCCATCTAGTCCCAAGCTAAGCAGAGTTTGCGTTTCGGGTATTAGACAACGGATATGAATATATAATTTTTTTTTTTGTAAATAATAATAATAATCTCAGTACAATTCACACAGCGCCATCTAGTACCAAGCTAAGCAGATATACAACGGACATGAATATATAAATAATTTTCTTTTGTAAATAATAATAATAATCTCAGTACAATTCACACAGCGCCATCTAGACCCAAGTTAAGCTAGCTAAAGCTTGTTCTATAGTTACTAGATAACAGATACATAATTTTTTTTCGTAAATATGTATAATGTATATATAGAAAATACCCAGACCGATACAAACAATCATACTCAGGAATACAAAAATTTGTACTGTGCGAGGAATCGAACCCGCGACCATCGAAAGTAAAGCAGTGTGTAACCGCTAGACCACCGAGGACGTCTATGATATTTGCTTTCTAGTTTCATAAACAAACGTTTTTTTTGTTGACAGATGTTTTTTTTTGTTGACAGGTCAAAAAATTAATATTTGAAGAGGGCAACACGAACGAAAAACAATCACTTCTGAAATCAATGTGGCAACAGACGGCACCACTCTTCGAAAAACCACTGCTACTCCAAACCCTCAAATTGTATTACCTGATCACCATACTGTACAGTATGTATGTATGTCATATAATACTCATATGTTTTGAATTTGACGCGGCCATTTATATGTATAACTAGCTGTATTCGCGACTTCATCCGCGTGGAGTTTAACTTTATTTTTCTAAAATAAAAGTAGCCTAAGTTACCCCTTATCACAACAGCTACTTGCCAAAAAAAATCCCGTCAAAATCGGTCCAGCCATTTCAGAGATTAACCGGAACAAACAGACAGACAGACAAAAAATGTTATTTTTTTGTACCGTATGTATTTATATTCATATGCATGTACTAAAAAACGATACTACTGCCTGCCAAAAAAGGTCAAAATCGGTCCGGCCATTTCAGAGATTAGCCGGAACAAACAGACAGACAAAAGTTGTAAAAAATGTTATTTTGGTGTATGTACCGCATTTATATTCATATGCATATAGTAAAAAACGGTTATTTCAATATTACAAACAGACACTCCAATTTTATTTATATGTATTGATTGGTAAATATAACAGGATCTTACCACGTTTTATTTTTATTGAATTCCCTTAATCCAGGGTATTTTAGGGAACGCAATTCAAATTCAAAATATCTTTATTCATGTAGGTCTTTTACAAACTATTATGATATGTCAAATCTACCGTCATTTCGGAATTATTTCGAGATGAATAGAACTGACAAGAAACTCAGCTTCTAGTCTTTTGAAATAAATGTTGTACCTGTTAGTAATAATACAGATTAATTTAAATTCATATTTGGGAGAATAGAGTGACAAAAGAATAAAAGGAGCTATGGTATTATGATTTATATGTAATATGTATATATGTATATATATATATATGGTTAGTCTGCATATAATTTCATTGTTTATCACAATTTCACTCGCCGTTTAAAGAAATTCAAAGATAATTAAATAAATCGCATGCACTAGCCGATAGATCCCCAATTCAATTCAAAGGGGGATCGAAATTACAACGGCAGGACCCGAAATTCAAACCCATAGCGGTGCCTTCAACTAAAGTCGTATCCGTCAGGCGGGAGTTGTCCTTCAGCCGCTCCATAAGTCCTTCCTTTGGTTTGGAGTGCCATCTGCACTCGCCCCCTATCGTCCGGTGAAGCTGTAAAGGCCAGCTGCGGTCAACAGCATTAGAGTAGTCCAAAAAAAGAAGTATATTTTTGATACTATACTAATAATATTATGTTGCAGAACGAACAGCGTAATTATGTGGTTGCCGTCCATAGCTGAAGCATTCTTCTCTGCTCGTTCTAGAAGTACTCATGGAGAACAGAACGGGGGTCTATGCGAGATGATTGGTCAGGCGCAGAATAATAATATCAGTTATAACAGTGTAAGTGTATGTCTTGGTCTACGAAAAAATATATCAAATCAAATCACATAGTCAAATTCAAATTCAAAATCAAAATATTCTATAATATAATTCATGTAATAGACCTACTATTACAGACACTTATGATATGTCAAATCTACCGCCAGTTCGGAATGATCTCGAGATGAGAACTGACAAGAAACTCAGCTCGTATTCTTTTCAAATATTGTACATGTTTACAATAATACAGATATATTTTTAAATTCAAATTTAGGAGAATAGAGTGACCTTCATGTGGAACCACTGCATACGGTATAGCAATTTTGGCAAAGGTAGAGATAGATAGATAAGATTTTTTTGTATCTTAGTACACATATAGGCATATGTAATAGACATATAAAGATATTTTGATATCATTTGATTACAAATTATATACAATATACAATATTTAAATGTGTGTATCACAGCAATCCAAAATGGCTCATTGCTCAGTGTTGAGAATCGCTCAAGGAGCAAAAGACTTATTTTTAGCTGTCCGCTGTTCGCGATAGGATGACCTGATGATGAGTGTAGATTCAATAACGGTCGGAATTTGATCACCAATAGAGAAGGTCGTAACGCTTCCAGCGGTGGTCAGGTTTCAGCACTGAACTGTGGTCTCACACACGCTAATGGTAGCGGAAAACAAAATAATAATATAAATCCATTAACATCTTTTCAGACCGCGGTGGTCTAGCGGTCTAGCACACTGCTTTACGTCCGATGGTCGCGGGTTCGATTCCTCGCACGGCACAAACATTTGTATTCATGGGTATGATTATTTGTGTCGGTCTGGGTGTTTTCTATGTATATTATGTATGTATTTACGAAAAAAAATCAAAAAATATCTACGTATTTGCATCAGTTGTCTAGTACCCATAACACAAGCTTTAGCTAGCTTAACTTGGGTCTAGATGGCGCTGTGTGAATCGTCCCGAGATTATTATCTTTTCAGACCACATGTACAGCAACTTTAGACCTCGAAACTGTATACTTCGGAGTAGGACAAAGCCTCATCTTCTTCGTGATAACCGTGGTGATCGCCGTGCTGGCGTCCAGGAAGAAGATCTTGATGCAGATCTTACTTTTGGTGTCGGTGGTCTCCGGCGTAGGAGTTGTTCTCTCCACCAATCACATAGTCAGCTTCATGCTGTTCATGGGACTGCTGGTGTGTGTACTCTGTATGGGGATCGTGTTCTCATATTTCGTGGATCTGTACCCTACATCCCACAGGTATTATTAGAAATAGAAATATTCTTTAATCATATAAACTTAATATAAGCACTTTTGAATAGTCATATTTTTTTATTCTACCACTCATTCGGAACGCAGATTCTTGAGAAGAATGAGTAAGAAACGTACGTGTTGCTCTTTTAAATAAATGTTTGTTCACAATTACATTTTTAAGAAGTTTGTATAAATACAAACTGTTAAATAGCAATATTAAGATTTTAGAATCTTTGATAGATAGATAAAATTTTTATTAATATCCACTTGGCGTAAACGTTTAGGTAAGCTACAAAGGCGTGTAAGAATTTTATATTATAAAAAAAAACAGGTAAATTATCCACATGTATAATTTACCTGTTTTTTTTTTATAATATAAAATTCTTACACGTCTTTGTTTGTGCTTACCTATATATAAAAAAAAAAAACAGGAATGCAAACAATAAACATAAAATATAGGTGCCATAAGGATATGAAACGGTTGCTTCAGTGATTAAATTGCTCAACGAGCAAAACACTGATTTTCAGTAGCTGTCTAAAGGTGAAGCGAATGCGGATACCGACACATATATGCAAAAAAAATATTTTATTTATTTATTTATTTCAGGCAACTAGGCCCATATTATAAATACCTTCTAGAGTAACATACATATAATATAAGATTTAAAAACTAATACAAAGATATTGTCTGTGTGATCACGGCACTGGAGACGGTAATCTGCCACGGCAGCGCTGATATACCTATATATATCTATAATAATCCTTTCGGCTAACCAGTAGTCCTTTTTCATATAATACTTCTATATATATCTATAATAATCTTCATAAATAGAGTTTTTTTTTACGATGATAATGGAATGGTGCTCACGCCTGCGCTAACGGTTTACGCTGGCGGGGCACCAGTGGAGGATGATAAGATGAACATGAGGTCAGGTCAGTTAGCCCATCGTGACAAATTCACCAAGAATTTATCACGATAGTTTCCAGGGGGAACCGCGTGGAGGTCAACCTGACATGGTACATTGCTAGCAATGAGATAATCAATCCACATTACTAACAATCCCCTTTCTCCCCTCATAAATAGAGTAGTCGAAGCTACTGTGGAATACTGACGGTGAACACAATAATCAAAATGCACATTGTCCACATTTCGTATTATACTTGGTGGTATCGCCTCCTGCCACCAACTACCGTTATCCTTCATATTAATTTGGTGTTTTTTTTTTATAACACAGGGGACAAACGAGCATGCGGCTCACCTGATGGTAAGTGATTACCGCCGCCCATGAGCACCCGCAACACCAGGGGAATGCGTACGTTGTCGGCCTTTTAAAAAGGAATAAGCTCTTTTCTTGAAGGTTTCAATATCGTATCGGTTCGGAAATACCATTGCTGGAAGGTGATTCCACAATGTGGTTGTGCGAGGCAAAAAGTTTCTAGAAAACCGCACTGTGGAAGACCGCCATTCATCCAGATGATCAGGATGGTATTTCAGTTTCTGGCGGGTGGTACGGTGGTGAAACTCAGCAGCTGGTATTAATCCGAACAATTCCTCAGAACAGTCCCCGGGATACATATATGGTGTTTTATTACGGGTGTTCCCATCACCAGAGATTTTGTAAATCGACCTATTATTTTGAGGCAGTAAACTATAAGGCCTAGTTTGGAATGTTTTGTATGTGTATATTAAATTTCTAAATTAATTATATAGAAGCATGGTGGCGTGTTTGGGCACCATCATCGCACGCGCCAGTGGATTGGTTGGAGTCAACGTCATCGGTCTATATATGATGTCACACTGCAGTATCACCATATATGCGTGCAGCGCCTACGTATTTAGTAAGAGCAATAACGCATGTTTACATATTTATTCTTATTCGAAATAGGCGTTACTTTGGTGAAGACAAAACATTACTGGATTTATAATATTTTCTTTAAATACATGTTGACTAGTCACATTTAGTCACCGAATACATAACACTGGGCTTCCAAGATACATATATCAGAGCTCCATTCAAGATGCCTCGTCTAATAGGTGTAAATTCGATATCGGAATTTGATCACCAATTCTGCACCGAATATTTGTGGTTTCATACATGCTAATGTTAGTTGAAATAAAATAATATATCTACTGGAAGAATTTGTTCTGTTTCGTCATAATTTAGTTTCTGGCTGGTGAAATTGCATTTTATACATTTTTGACTTGATGCATGGATAATTAAGATAATTTGTAATTGTGCATTTCTTATTTACATAGTCATATGTACGGATAAAATAATTAAGGAATGTATTTCTTTCAGGTGGGTTCATAGTCACATACTTCCTGCCACCAGATCGACCGAAGACTTTGGTAAAAGTTATTACCAACAGATAAATGTTACCATACTTGTAGTATATGATGATTTTAAATATATATTTATTTAGTTACGGTATATTTTTTCTTAGTTTCGAATCTTCACCTTCAATTCCTATATTAGTTTGTAATCTTATCTAATTTTGATACAGATATGTGTTATGAAAATTATTGCAAAATAGTTTAATCTATATCTGGGGCTTTATTATGTAATTCTGTTGCAATCGTTTCCTTCTACAAGAAACAGATTAAATTTGCAACAGACTTAAATAAAAAAAGATCTTAGAACAATTCACACAGCGCCATCTAGACCCAAGTTAAGCTAGCTAAAGCTTGTGTTATGGGTACTAGATAACTTATACAAATACGTATATGTAAATACATAAATATTATACATAGAAAACACCCAGAGCATTAATAATTATACTCATGAATACAAATGTTTGTAATAGTTAATTTTAAACTTTCGTGTTTAATATACTTTATTTGCCATAAAATTATTCGTGTTAAGACCCGGTTAATAATTTAAACAAATGTTTGTGCCGTGCGAGGAATCGAACCCGTGAGCATCAGAAGTAAGGCAGTGTGTTAAACCGCTAGACCACTAACGTCGTCAAATAATATGTAAGTATACTATTTATATTTCTTATCAGTTCTTCTCAAGAGAAGCAATCAGAGAGTTTTTTAGTGATGATATTGGAACGTTTCACCTGCTTGCGCTAACGGTTTTCGCTGGCGGGGCATCAGTGGACGATGATAAGATGAACATAAGGTTAGATCAGTTAGCCTATCGTGGGAAATCTATCAGGAATTTATTATAATTCCATTAGAGTCCATTACCGAGTTTTATTTAGAATTACAGAACATATCGCATAACATTTATCATCAGATGGGCCTTATCTTGTTTGGTACCGTCATAGCATAAAAAAAACATGTTAGAGGTAAACAAAAAATACAAAGTCAATTTAAACTTGATATATTTTAAACAAAAAAATATAAAGTCAAGACTCTTCCGACAATAATGCTTTTTTTACATTTTTTTTGTATTCTTAATTAAGAATCCAAATAATTACAGTACCCAATACAGTCATAAAAAAACTCGATTTAGTTGGTTTAAAATAAATTAAGAATATTGGGAAAAATTTACCTTCTTCCAGTCGGTTCAAGATCAATATAAAGTAATAGAAAAGTGTTTATTCTGCATACTCCACAAATACTGGCAATTAATAAAATAATTTATTTGAAAATGGAGATTAAGTGATTTTTAAAGTAACTTTATTTCCAGAATATTGGCGGGAAAGTTGATTGTTTGAAAATAAAATAGGAATTTGAAAATGGAATATTTAAAATAACTTCATTTTCAGAAAATTGGTGGGAAACTTGTTTATTTGAAAATGGAATAGGATTTTTTTTAAATAACTTCATTTGCAAGCCTCATGCCAAAACAGCAACAAGTAAACAGAAGTATTTGCAGAATATTGGCGGGAAAGTTGTTTATTTGAAAATAGAATAGTAAATATTTAAAAGAACTTTATTTCCAAAAAATTGGTAGGAATATTGATTATTTTGAAAATGGAATAGGATTTGATTAAATTAACTTTATTTGCAAGCCTCATGCCAAAAGGAATAGAATATTGGCGGGAAAGTGGTTTATTTGAAAATAGAATAGAATGGTAAATATTTAAAAGAACTTTATTTCCAGAAAATTGGTAGGAAAATTGATTATTTTGAAAATGGAATAGGATTTTTTAAAATAACTATTTGCAGAATATTGGCGGGAAAGTTGTTTATTTGAAAATGGAATAAGTATTTTTCAAAATATATTCTTTTTTAGAATTTTATCGGGAAACTAGTTTCAATGTTATTTCGAGATGTTTCATGTACATTACTTACTCAGTGCTATAACTTAACAATATTTTAATTGGTTTATTGATTTTAAAGAAGTGGGTGTAACTTTTAACATTCTTGTAATATTTTTAAACTAGTGACGCCCACTACTTTTCTCGCTGGTACATTTGTATATACTATTGAAGGTGATAAATATGAATAAATAATTTTCAATTAGCCATTTGTGGCAAATTGACCAGAAATCTATCACCATAACTATAATAGCTTGGAGATCAACCTGACATGGTACATTGTAGCAATGGAGTCATTCCCACTCTTTGTATATTTATATAAAAATATATCTAAAAAGACTAGACTATCTGTTACCTAGTACCCATAACACAAGCTTAGATTAAGAGTACATGGCACTCTGTGAATACTTTAAGATATATATTTTTTTATGGATAACTAGCTATTCGCCCCGGCTTCGCACGGGTGTACATGTATTATATATATAAACCTTCCTCTTGTATCACTCTATCTATTTAAAAAAACCGCTTCAAAATCCGTTGCGTAGTTTTAAAGATTTAAGCATACATAGGGACAGACAGCGACAACGACTTTGTTTTATACTATGTAATGATAATGGAATGGTACACCCTCCTGTGCTAACGGTTTACGCTGGCGGGGCACCAGTGGAGGATGATAAGATGAGCATGAGGTCAGGTCAATTAGCACATCGTGACATATTCACCAAGAATTATCACGACGGTTTCCAGGGGGAACCGCGTGGAGGTCAACCTGACATGGTACATTGCTAGCAATAAGATCACCAGTCCACATTACTAACAATCCGCTTTCCCACCAACTCTAAGATACTATCTTAACAAAAAGAGGCCAGATCAGTCTAACTCTGAAATAGGGTATAACTCCACAGATAACACATGACCTTCTCAACAGATTAAAAAGTATAGGTACAGCGGCCGGTCAGTACACCTCGGACTGCTGTCCAGACCGGTTCTTTATTAATACGAAGTCAAAATATAATTATAGTTTGCGTAAATTTAATAAAAAATTATGGTATTTCCCGTGCAGCAGGATGCGTTAGAGACAGTGTATTTATAGTCAGTGCTAGTGATTGTTTAAAACAGAATCCGTTATTTGTAAATCCCATGGGATTTTTAAAGATATCTTACGTTGTGAAGGAAAGTTGTAATCTAATTTTTAGATTCTTATCTTCAGTCAATTGAGCAGGAATTTTTATATCTTAGCTGATCCGCGCAATATCTGCATCACACTTACTTGACATTTATAATTATATATCGCCCAATTTACATAATATCTTTTCAAATTATAGCCTATGTGTTATTCTGATGTATATACTATATTATTGTAATGTTTCATCAAATTTAATTTAGTACTTTTTGCGTGAAAGAATAACAAAAATCCATCCGTACTGACAAACTTATAATATTAATGAGATTTTAAGACAACTTAAAAAGATGGCAGCTGTAAACGAGAGTTATGATAAGACAGGAGATGTGGATGATATAGAGCTGAGCACTATGGACGCAGGTCGGAGGCAGGAGAGCGTCACAAGATACAGTTACGAGGAAGCTTTAGACATGACAGGTTTGTTCATATTTTTGACAAGATTCCATCTATACATATTGTTGTAGTTTATTCACGTAGTAATAAGAAAAAAGGTAAACGGAGAAAAATATATATTAATATAGACTACTGACATAACAGAATAGAAAAAAAGGAATTGAAGTATCAAAAACAAGAATGTAATATAAAAGAACTATAAATTCAAATACAAATTTAGAATATAAAATACATATCTGATTAGACAGTTACAACACATAAATAGAATTGGAGTGTCTGTTTGTAATATTGAAATAACCGTTTTTTACTACATGCATATGAATAAATACGGTACATACACCAAAATAACATTTTTTACAATTTTTGTCTGTCTGTCTGTTTGTTCCGGCTAATCTCTGAAATGGCTGGAACGATTTTACGGGGCTTTTATTGGCAGGTAGCTGATGTAATAAGGAGTAACTTAGGCTACTTTTATTTTAGTAAATTAAGTTAAATTCCACGCGGACGAAGTCGCGGGTATAGCTAGTAGTGAATATATCTTAGGACAATTTCATAACATCTTATAATGTACCATAAACCATTTGAAACAACCAGTACATGACATGACAATTCACACAACGCAAAGCCTAAGGTAAGCAAAGCTTGTGTTATGGGTACTAAAGAACCAATATAAATACTTAAATTTTATTAAATATATATAATATACATAAAAAACACCCAAACAAATACAAACAATCATACGCATGAATACAAATATTTGTACCGTGCGAGGAATCGAACCCGCGTCCATCGGAAATGAAGCGAATTAAACCTCTAGACCAACGAGGCCAACAAACAACAAACCAACCTACAAGTAAAATTATTACTATTATGATATATTGAATTTAAAAGGTTACGATATTTTTCTATCTGACCTCGGTGGTTTAGTGGTTTAGCATAAGCTTTATTTTAGTCTCGGATTCGATTGCTATCACAGGCGGATGCACACTAACATTGTCATCAATCAAAAATACCATAATGGGTATACAATTTTACTAATAATTTAACACATTTGTAAATATGGGTTACAATGGACTACCTGCCGAGGTTCTCTCACGAGACTACAGCATGGGGTTTTTCAAGAAGGGTATATTAAGGTTTCAGTAACGCGCACATAACACCCCTGGTGTTTCAAACCATAGACTACGGTAACCATTTACCATCAGATCGGCCGTATGCTTGTTTGCCACCATAGTATTATAAAAAAATGCGTTATTTATCCATGATTGAGAAACAAGCGTACTTATGGTGTCTTATCAACAAAAATATCTTAAGTGGTTCACATCTCCACTCGTGGATACTAGCACTAAGTTGAGATACAAGAAGTAGAAATAATCTCTATACAGTTAAAATTTATGTACTTGAAGATTACTGATTGTTACAACACAAACTTTGAGTTTAGTACAGGGATTGTTGTTAAAAAAATATATCTATATTTCACTGCTTATGTTAAAGTATAGGATATTTCCTATTTTGGGAGCAGGGTTTCACCTTATATCATAAGGATAAATGTAACACTGTATTGTGCAATAAATAAATAAATACATTAATGTAAATGTAAATAAAATCTAAATATATATAACTCAAAGGTGACTGACATAGTGATCTATCAACGCACAGCCCAAACCACTGGATGGATCGGGCTGAAATTTGGCTTGCATGTAGATGTTATGACGTAGGCATCCGCTAAGAAAGGGTTCTGATTAATTCTGCCCCCAAGGGGATAAAATAGGGGATGAAAGTTTGTATGAAACTTTGTCAATTTTAAACAGATCGGGCTGAGATTTTGCATGCATAAAGCTACTATAACGTAGGCATTCCCTAAGAAAGGATTTTGATAAATTCCACCCCTAAGGGGATAAATAAACGCGAGCGAAGCCGCGGGCAAAAGCTAGTATATAATGTACATAGAAAACATCCAGACCGATACAAACAGTCATACTGTTATATAAAATAATGTTACGGTTTTTGGATATTTGTTACACAATCATGCATAAATAGCTATGTTAATTTGAATAATGTTTGTCGTCATAGACCAGAGCATCGTGACTTAGTTGCTTACTATCATAACTTTACACTTCGAAGTTCGTGAGATCAAATCCGGACCACAAAAAGACTCTATATGAAATTTAATTTCAGACTAATTCTCCGATGCGAAAACATCGTAAACAAAACAGGTAATAATAATAATAATCTCAGGACAATTCACACAACGTCATCTAGACCCAAGTTAAGCTAGCTAAAACTTGTGTTATGGGTACTAGACAACTGATACAAGTACATAGATATATATATATCTTTCCGAAAACACATACATGTTATACATATTATAAAAGACCCAGATCGAATTCAAATGTTTGTGCCGTGCGAGGAATTGAACCCGCGGCCATAGCAAGTCAGACGGTGTGCTAATCCGCTAGAACACCGAGGCCGGTTAATTGGTCGTGTATTTTGTAATTTATTTATATGTACTTACACCGCCATCAATTACTCTCTGCATCACTCATGATCTATACCGTATGGCGTTAAGCCCGCCATTTCATATTTACTTCAAGTTAAGTACAGGGCACATAGCTCGTAGGACAGATGGCCGTTGGGGCAGTAAAGTCCTCGAGTGGCGACCACGGACCGGAAGACGCAGCGTGGGAAGGCCTCCAGCAAGGTGGACCGACGATCTGGTCAAGATCGCGGGAAGGCATTGGATGCGAGCAGCGCAGGACCGATCGTCGTGGAGATCTTAGGGGGAGGCCTATGTCCAGCAGTGGACGTCTTCCGGGCTGCGATGATGATGATGATGAAATACATTAAAGTTATATAAATAAAAATAAATATGTATGTATGTATATTAGTTTATCGGATATTAATTACTTTCTACGCTACATTCGAACTCTAGTTCCATAGTTTACTTTCCTATTAACAGAATCCGCTCTCTTTATAATTTTAGTATAGACTAGTGTTGCCAGAAGTCCCGTATTTTAAGCTTAGTTTAAAATGTCCCGGCGGGACTCACTATGTCCCGTATTCGAATCGTGCTCCGCTTTTTATTATTAAATCGATCGACCTACGCTTCTTTAGATAATTTGTCCCGGGTAAAAAACTAAATTCCCTTATTTTTTTTACTATTTTACCGTTTGCCGTTTATAGGCCGAAAAAAAATCTGGCAACTCTAACATATAAACCTTCTGATTGCTTAACTTAGCTGTTACAAGTTATTAGAATATCATAAACAATGATTAGTTAATTACTTCTCCAATTTGACCTCGACTCAAAGATATAATGGGCCTACTTGTATTTGACCTTAAATGTTGAAAAGTCAAAATCGCGGTCGATTGCCGTAAACCTGTTTTCATCAATTACCGAACCAAACACAGCGATTACTTGCTCTGTATCCACAGATTAATAAATATTTATTAACTGTGAGAACTTATAGATATAGCCTTATTGATTTTCTTGTACCCATGTCGCCAGTTTATGATGGAGATATTCAGAGGATCTATATCTATACATATAAATAAAATTCGAGTGTCTGTTTGTAATATTGAAATAAACGTTTTTTACTACATGCATATGTATATAAATACGGTACATACACCAAAATAACATTTTTTACAATTTTTGTCTATCTATCTGTTTGTTCCGGCTAATCTCTGAAATGGCTGGACCGATTTTGACGGGACTTTTTTTGGCAGGTAGCTAATGTAATAAGGAGTAACTTAGGCTACTTTTATTTTGTAACTTAGGCTACTTTTATTTTAGAAAAATAAAGTTAAATTCCACGCGGACGAAGTCGCTAGTACAGCTAGTAGCAAATATAATTTAATATTTTTCATCACAGTTGCATGGTACATATAACTGTTACTTAGCAACATGAATATTAATATTAATTTTAAAATGAATAATTATTTTAAAATTCATGAATAATAATTTTAAATGTGATTATACTTTTTCTTCTAAAATCAATGTACCAAATATTTTATCTGAGGTCTCCCTGTACATCTGCGATAGAGAACTCTGTTCTGTGTTGTCTAGATAGCAAGCTCGTCCTGGTCCATCTGCTTCTTAATCAATATTAAGGCCGCAGGCAGGCCTAGCGCCATTTGGTGGAACAATTTCCACCAAGTGGCCCTCGGCCTGCTCCTACCTCTGGTCGAGTTTGGTTGAGCACTTTTTAAACCACGTAGTTTCCACGCATTCTTCACGTTTTAGAATAATAATAATAATAAAAACAACAGCAAAAGTTGAGAAAATGCGACAATAGTGAAAATAATGCTTTATTTCTACAACCGCAAGATTATAAGGAGTAGTACATAATAGTTAATTACATATAATTAGTAAAAATCACGGGATCTCACCACGTTTTATATTTATTTGCTGAGTTGAGATCACACATTTTGATAAATTCAAGAGGTATCTATAAACATTTATTTAAAAGAACAACACGCAAGTCTCTTACTCAATTTTTTTGAGATGAGTCTGCGTTCTAAATGAGTAGTAGAAGCAAAAACTTATTCAAAAATGCTTATATTAAGTTTATTTGAATAAAGATTATTTCTATTTCTATTAATACCTTTTTTTTATACTATTGTGGTGGCAAATAAGCATACGGCCTATCATGATGGTAAATGGTTACCGTAGCCGATGGATGCCTGAAACACCAGGGGTGTTACGTGCGCGTTGCCGACCCTTAAGCAACCTTAATATACCCTTCTTGAAAAACCCCATGCTGTAGTCTCGTAAGAAAACCTCGGCAGGAAGTTTATTCCACAACCTAAGTGTACGCGGGAGGAAGCTCCTACCTGTGAGATGTAGGGTACAGATCCACGAAATATGAGAACACAATCCCCGTACACAGCACACACACCAGCAGTCCCATCCCGAAAGTAAGATCTGCATCTTCTTCCTGGACGCCAGCACGGCGATCACTACAGTTATCACGAAGAATATGAGAACATGAGGTCTTGTCCAATTAAATTTATTTGAATAAAGATTATTTCTATTTCTATTTCTAATAATACCTGTGGGATGTAGGGTACAGATCCACGAAATATGAGAACACAATCCCCATACAGAGTACACACACCAGCAGTCCCATGAACAGCATGAAGCTGACTATGTGATTGGTGGAGAGAACAACTCCTACACCGGAGACCACCGACACCAAAAGTAAGATCTGCATCAAGATCTTCTTCCTGGACGCCAGCACGGCGATCACCACGGTTATCACGAAGAAGATGAGGTCTTGTTTAATTAAATTTATTTGAATAAAGATTATTCAGATTGCTATAATATTCTATATTTCCAAAGGTCACGGCAAGTACAATTTGGGTCTACTGGTGGCGTGTTTTGTGGTGATCACAGCGATGGGGATTGACATCTTCGGGCTGGGCATCATCGTCACAGCAGCCACTTGCGACCTGGGTATAGGACTACATGAGATAGGGGTGCTCTCGTCTATGCCCTTTGCAGGTAAGTCAACACGACACTTCTGTATCGTATAGAATAGAATAGAATGGAAAATTTAATAATCAACCCCAAAAAGGCCAAGAAAAGTGTCCCCATTCTAGATTCAAAAATAACGAATTTCCATGCAAAGATTCATCCCTTATTTTATTTTACTCCATTAAGGGTAACTTTTTTTTACAAAATTTGAATGTTATATTTATTTATATTTAATCAAAAGCTAAAAAAATAAGTTTTAAGTTATTTCTAGTTTTAAAAATGACGATACTTCCATTCAACTTTCCATCGCCCCTTTCAACCTTTTACAAACCTTTTTTCGTATTAAAAAGTAGCCAATGTCCTTTCTTTGGATCTAGACTACCTGTGTTCCAAATTTCATTTAAATCGCTTCAGTAGTTTTGGCGTGATATCGAGAAAGACAGAAAGACAAACATAGTTACTTTCGTATTTCTAATATTAGTTCTGTGTATCAAATTGCATTTAAATCGGTTCAGTAGTTTTGGCGTGAAATCGAGGCAGACAGACAGACAGACAGACAGGCAGAGTTACTCTTGCATTTATAATATTAGTAAGGATTGTATGGTTCTGTTTTCTAATTTCCAGGTATAATAGTGATGTCATACCCGTGGGGCTACCTGTCTGACACCAAGGGCAGGAAGCTGGTGCTGATGTGGGCTATGTGCGGTGCCTTCTTCAGCTCCTTGTTCAGCAGCTTCGCACCCAACTGGCAGATGCTGGCTGCGTTCAGATTCATCAGTTCAGCGTTGTGAGTAAACCTCGACTAGCACTCTGATCTGATTTACAGTAATCCTCTAAGACCTGGTAGATTGGTTCCGCGTTACAGGAAAATGCGTTGTAGAGTATGGGACACAGTTACCTGGATACATCAAAATAATAATTGCATTTAATAATGTCTAGTAAGACAAATCCAATATTGTGTACTAAGCACTGCTGTGTCTAAACTGTGTCACCCCACCTTACATTTTCCTATTGTCACCTTCTAAATATATATAACTCATAGGTGACTGACTGACATAGTGATCTATCAACGCACAGCCCAAATCACTGGACGGATCGGGCTGAAATTTGGCATGTTATGACGTAGGCATCCGCTAAGAAAGTATTTTGAATAACTCTACCCCTTGGGGGTAGAATTAATCAATCAAGATAGGGGATGAAAGTTTGTATGAAACTTTGTCAATTTTAAACCGATCGGGCTGAGACTTTACATGCATAAAGCTACTATGACGTAGGCATCCCCTAAGAAAGGATTTCGATAAATTCCACCCCTAAGGATATACAATAGGGGATAAAAGTCTGTATAAATCTACTTAGATTTTCGACTCATTGAACTGAAATTAAAAATTGGAGCTACTATGATGAAGACGTTCGATTAAATAGGATTTTGATAAATTCAACCCCCATGGGGATAAAATAAGGGATGATGCAGGATGTAAATGTATTAGTTTGAATCTATCAGTACCTAATGGAATGAATAAATTAAGAAGAAAAAAAATATTTTTAGTTCTTTAGGCTACTTTTATTTTAGAAAAATAAAGTTAAATTCCACGCGGACGAAGTCGCGTGAACAGCTAGTTTAGTATGTATTATTATATATAATATACATCGTCTCAACCTACAACATAGTATCATTTACCCGCAGCAAGGAGGATATCCGTATAACGCATTACGTATAAATTATTGATGTTCAATTTTTTCGACTAAAGGGAGTTGAAATCTAATATTAAGAATAAACTGTATTAAGAACTATTGAATTAAAACTATGAACATCCTTATATAGTATAAAACAAAGTCGCTGTCGCTGTCTGTCCGTCCCTATGTATACTTAAATCTTTAAAACTACGCAACGGATTTTGAAGCGATTTTTTTAACAGATAGTGTGGTTCAAGAGGAAGGTTTATATGTATAATACATGTACACCCGTGCGAAGCCCGTGGGTAGTTAGTTATAAATAAAAAACTTATGCGTATGAACTAAAAAAGACTTATAATACAAAACAAATCAACGAAATCAATCCTCGATGCCTCGATGGTCTAGCGGTTTTGCACATCGCTTTACTTCCGATGGTCGCAATTTCCCACGTCCACACCGGCGCCCCCGGACGCCCCTCCGATCGATCCCCCGTCCAATTCAAACGGGGATCGATATTACGACGGCCTGAGCCGAGGTTTGAACCCCTAGCGGTGCCCTCAGACTATAGTCGTATCCGTCAGGCAGGAGTTGGCCTTCAGCCGCTCCATAAGTCCTTCCTTGGTTTGGAGTGCCATCTGCACTCGCCTCCTATCGTCCGGTGAAGCTGTAAAGGCCAGCTGCGGCAAACAGCTTTAGAGTAGTCCGAAAAAAAAAGTCGCAATTTCGATTCCTCCCACGGCTCAAACATTTGTATTCTTGTGTATGATTATTTGTATCGGTCTGGGTGTTTCCTATGTATAATGTATTTTTTTACGTATATCTATGTATTTGTATCAGTTATCTAGTACCCATAACACAAGCTGCTAACTTAACTTGGGACTAGATGGCGCTGTGTAAATTGAACCCCATCTATATAGTCGTGTTGACTTAATATTACTATTGTATACGTTTGTAGATTTCATTCACTTAGCGTAGTGGCAGAAAACAATGATCACTTGTAAATATTGTCAAGGTTCGATTTCAAGGGAATCTCCGAGCATTGTTTCGTGATATAATCAGTTAATCTTTTAACATAAACGAACAGTATTGTAGTTAGTATACAGTTAAAATATTTCATAGTAGTTTTGTTACGTTTATACTAGTACTATAATTAAATAACCCTGGACAATTCAATAAAGATAGGGACAATAACGGGCCACTGTCCCATCACACACAAACATCTGTACACAATCGGTGCTACAGACAGTACCCTTTGTAATGTGGACTGATGATCCCATTGCTAACAATGTACCAGGTTGACCTCCATGCGGTTCCCCCTGGAAACCATCGTGATAAATTACTGGTGAACTTATCACGATGGGCTAACTGACCTGACTTCATGTTCATCTTATCATCCTCCACTAGTGCTGCCAACTCCCTGCCAGCGTATACCGTTAGCGCAGGCGGGTGCAACATACCATTGTCATCCACTAAAAAAAAAAGTCCCCTTTGTCGGGGCTGCTTCTGGCTGGCTGCGTCTCCTGGCTCACGTAATCCTGGATGGACAGCAGTGGCCACACAACGAAAACAAATCCTCGGAACGGTGAGGTCGCTCCGCGAAGCCTGTGAAGACACCAGAAGTCTTCTGCGCTTCTGGGAGGAGCTTGGCTGGCTACGTTAGTAGTCTCGGCTCTACATTACAACCCTGGATAATTAACACAGCGCCCTCTAGCTCCAAGCTAAGAAGTGCTTGTGTAATGGATATTAGTCAACTGATATAAATATGTACTTTCATACATTTTTGATTATTTGTATTGGTCTCAATGTGTGTATAAAAAATATCTAAGTATTTATAACGGTTTAGACTAAATATCTATGTATTTATAGTTAGTTTCGACGACCTCGGTGGTCTAGCGGTCTAGCACACCGCTTTACGCCGACGGTCGCGGGTTCGATTCCTCACACGGTACAAACATTTGTATTCATGAGTATGATTGTTTGTATCGGTCTGGGTGTTTTCTATATATAATATGTATGTATTTACGAAAAAAAAATTATGTATTTGTATCAGTTATCTAGTACCCATAACAGAAGCTTTAGCTAGCTTAACTTGGGTCTAGATGGCGCTGTGTGAATTGTCTCGAGATTATTACTATCTTATATATAAAATTCTCGTGTCACAGTTTTCGTTCCCATACTCCTCCGAAACGGTTTGACCGATTCTCATGAAATTTTGTGAGCGTATCAGGTCTGAGAATAGGCCAACATCTATTTTTCTACCCCTAAATTTTAGGGGTAGTCCACCCCTAAAAATTTTATTTTTTATTTTAAGGTAAAACAACGTTTGCCGGGACAGTTAGTTATTTATAACAGTTGTATAGTTCTCATAACTCAAGCTTTACTTATGATGGGACTAGACTAGTCAAATTAGATGGCGTTGTGTGAATTGGTTCTGATATACATATTGTTATTATTATGATATGATTATGTAAAAATAATAAAAATATAATAATACTAGGTGTCTGAAAAATGCTGCTAATATAAAAGTGTCTGAACAAAAACTGTTATAAACATCACATTATTGGACAATTTAAGTGGTCACCATTTCACTACATTTTCTGTGAAACCGATTATGCTGATTATTTTTTTTAATACAACCACTCATGTACAGTTCAAGCGCGGCGGAGTCAGCCACGTACGCGTTGTTGGGTGAATGCTGTACGACGAGAGTGCGCGCTCGGTACATGCTTCTCATGACCAGCGCCCTTATGCTCACGCCTACCATTTACTACGGTGAGTACTTCTTCTTTTCCTTCTTCTTCTCCTTCTTCTTCTTATTCTTCATCTTCTCATTCGATAAGTTCTTGACAGAATGGTCGTGGTCATTCATAATCAATATTCATGTAGGTCATTTTAGCCACTTATGAACGTCAAGTTATTTGTTTTAATATTTTCTCCTATCGTTCAGTTCAGTATACAGATTCAATTGAGAAGAACTGGCAAGAACTACAACAGAACTTCTTATTTTTAAAGCCAGTTTATTTACATTGTACACTTATATAGGTGTCTATGTCTAACATTAAATGAAAATCCCGAGCATGAACAACTATTGCCATGCACGCTCGTCATTCAAGTAATCGTTTAGTGAGTAATAGGCCTTGCTCAGTAAATATTATTTAACAGATGTTTTAATTTATTTATGTTAAATGTAGTTATATCCTTTGGTATCTCATTGAAAAGTTTTATTCCCATTCCTATACCCTATCCTTTGACTTTTTCTAATCGATACTCAATAACAGTAAATTTATCTTTAAGTCTAGTATTATTGTTAAAAATATGGCTATTTTTTGGAAATATGTTAAGATTTTCGCTTCGATCTTCTTGAAAATCTAGTTGTAATGAGACATATACTATAAAAAAATGTGACTATTCAAAAGTGCCTACATTAAGTTTACATGAATAAGAATTATTTCTATATCTATTTCACATATTTTTGATTAGAAATAGAAATAGAAATAGAAATAATCTTTATTCAAATAAAGTCATTACAAGCACTTTTGAATAGTCATATTTTGATTCTAACACTCATTCGGAATGCAGATTCATCACAAAAAGAATGAGCAAGAAACTTGTGTGTAACTGTGTGTGATTCTACCACTCATTCGGAACACAGACTCATTACAAGAAGAATGAGCAAGAAACTTGTGTGTTGCTCAGATAGAGTACAGCTATTTCCTCACTGAATCAAGTATATTTAAAATTTATCAGTGTGGGGCTACATGATAATGAAGTTGGACTTCTCAATAACCTTCCTGTCGATCGTGTACCGGCCGTGGCGTCTCCTCACCCAGATCATGGCACTGCCGTTGGGGTTGGGCGCGCTGATGCTGCACTTCTTCAGCGAAAGCCCCAAGTTCCTCGCCAACGTTGGCCGCAGCGACGAGTGTGTAGATGTGCTAAAGAGAATATATGTGAAGAATGGTGGTGCTGGAAATGATTTCCCTGTAAGTATATTTATTTATGTTTAGGTACTAATTTACCGGAACATGGACCCTGACGATACGACTGGTCCACCAACTCAAAGTCGCTCAACGAGCTATGGAAACAGCTATGCTTGGAGTTTCTCTAAGGGATCAAATCCGAAACGAAGTAATTCGACAGAGAACTAAGGTCACCAACATAGCTCTTCGTATTAGCAAATTGAAGTGGCAGCGGGCTGGTCATATCAGTCGCAGAACCGATGCTCGCTGGAGTAGACGTGTTCTAGAGTGGAGACCGCGAATTGGCAAATGTAGTGTAGGATGCCCCGCAGCTAGGTGGAGCGACGACATAGGGTTGGGGGTAGTAATTGGAAGAGAAGGGCCGAAGATCGTGCCCAGTGGGGTACCTTGGGAGAGGCCTATGTCCAGCAGTGGACTGAAGTGGGCTGATGATGATGACTAATTTACATATTTAATATTATTTATGCGAAAGTTTGTCTGTATAATAATATTACCTTTATCTGTTTGCTCGAATCTTAATGAAGTTTGATTTGAAGATAGTAATGTGTCATTTTTGGAAGTACATTTAATTACTTATTGGATTTAAATTATTTTGTTTAATTCCACTACCATTAGTGTGAGGTCTCACACATGCTAATGGTAGCGGAAATAAAGATATATTAAGTGCGGAAACTTCGATTAGACTGCGATCAGATTACGATAGTGGTAGTCTCATCGCCAAACAGGTAACACTAGAGTTCCAAACTATATCCAAGCTCTACTCATTGCTTGATGACACTTCGGTCAGAGGCGAAACATGTGTCGCAATATGGGTGTAGATCCAATAACGGTCTGAATTTAAACCCTGATAATGAAAGTCATATATATGGCTTCCAGTAGCGGTGATTAGGTTTCCGCACTGAATATTTGTCATCTCACACATGCTAATGATAGCGGAATTAAACAAAATGATAACGGAATTAAACAAAATAATGCAAAATGATAACGGAATTAAACAAAATAATACAAAATGATAACGGAATTAAACAAAATGATACAAAATGATAACGGAATTAAACAAAATAATACAAAATGATAACGGAATTAAACAAAATAATACAAAATGATAACGGAATTAAACAAAATGATACAAATCAGGTAATAAGTTTCATTTTTTTCATTGAGCCTGTAATTTTTATAGCAAAATAATGACTATTTTCGTTATCTATCTATCTAGGTTAAAGAGATATACTTGGAGGACGGTAGTACGGAGGAGGTGGGCGAGTTCTCGTTACGTTCGCTGTGGATTCAAATCGCGCCGCTGTTCAAGCCACCTCTGCTCAGCAAAACTCTACTACTTTATTACCTGACATTCGTCATATATATCGCGTAAGTACGTAGTTGTTTATATCTTTGTTTTTATGTCTTACTAGCCATATCCTATGACATTTCACACTGTATGTCATGTATGTCCTACAGTACCACCTTAGTTCTAGATTTCGCGGGTTTATCTATGTATATTATGAATGTTTTTAGATTTTTATTTTTTTATTTATTTAAATTTAATGCACACAATATATAATATAGTACAGTACATTTAGCGGACTTAACACCATCAGGCATTATAAAAAAAATATTGTATTTCTTTTATTAAATTTATTCCAATACATTAAAAAATGTATTGGAAGTATTTATATCAGTTGTCTAGTACAATAACACAAACTCTGTTTGTTCTGAAATAATTTTATTATATGAATATGTTTGTTTGGTGTTATTTTGCAAAAGTACATACTACTTCTTAATGGATTTGTGATATTTTTAATCTTTACATACTTTTTCAATTCGGGTCAATTAAAAAAACCTATATATCTCGGAAACTAAGAATGCTAGCTTAATGAAATTAATTGTGTTTGATAGACAATTAAATACTTCTTAAATTGAGATATTAATTAAATATTTCATACATAAGGGTTATGTTATAAAAAAACAAATTTGAAAAAGAGAGACTTTCGAAGATGGATCTATGAATTTACTACATTTTATTTCATTCTTAGTTTCCGAGATACATAGGTTTTTCTAAGGGTCACTTAGAAAAACCTATGTATGGATTCGTTGCTCTCGAGTGTAGTATAAAATGAAGTTCTTCATTTCCGCTGTCTGTTTGCTTAGATCTTTTAACCTACGCAACGGATTTTAATGCAGAATCTAGCAATAGCTGGAGTGATCGATATTATAATACTAATCATTTATTCAGCATAGCAATCTTAGGTCATCGGAGAATCTCCAGTTAAAGACACCAGTACATCATACTGCTTTTTACGACATGTCCTTCACGGTACTTGCAGTCCGACTATGGAACGATCTGCCACTTCCCATACGTAAATTGACATCACTGCCTACTTTTAAATCGAGTGTTAAAAAATATTATTCACGAAACTTATCTGCATAGTAACGTCGCTATTGTATAGATATTATTTAATTTATTTATATGTATATATGTATGTATATATATGTGTGTGTATGTATATTTTATATATAATGATTATTATGTAGTTATATGTATGTGTATATGATATGTAAATTCTACATCCAACAACTAATTGTTATACCTCGACCAGACACAGTCTAATCACTCCTCTCCATCCTAAGGTTGCCTGGAAAAAATCGCTATTTAGCGATAAGGCCGCCCATTGTTACCTCATTTCATTTCATATAATGCAGAGTGAAAAATATAAAAGAACTTAAAAGCTGGTATCACTGCATCGCTGATTTTCAGTGGATTTTTTACTTTAAATATATAAAATGTACTAAAAGAGTAAGTTAATTTTTGAATTAGAAGTATGTGTAATAAATGGAAGAAAAATTTATAACGATAAAATTTCTTGACTGTGTTCAATAGATTATTATTGTATTGTATTGTATTGTATTGTATTGTACTGTACTGTATTGTACTGTACTGTACTGTATTGTACTGTATTGTACTGTATTGTACTGTATTCAAATTCAAATTGAAATTCAAAAATCATTTATTCATGTAGGACATTTTAGCCGCTTATGAACGTCAAATTTCTACATTATAATTTTATTTTTTTCCCTACCGTCCAGTTCGGTATATAGATCCAAATGAGAAGAACTCGCAAGAAACTCAATTGAATTACTTTTTTTTAAAGCCTGTTTATTTACAATGTATATTTATATAGGTGTCTATGTCTAACATTAAATGAAAATTCAGTGCATGAACAACTATTGCCATGCACACTCGTCATTCAAGTAATCGTTTAGTGAGTAATAGGCTTTGCTCAGTAAATATGATTTAACAGATGTTTTGAATTCATTTAAGGGTAATTCCAACATATCCTTTGGTATCTTATTGTAAATTTTTATACCTATTCCCATAAAAGACCTATTAACTTTTTCTAAACGATACTTGGGGACAGCATGTTTGTCTTTAAATCTTGTATTAATATTATGAATATTGCTGTTATTTATTGTACTGTATTGTACTGTATTGTACTGTATTGTACTGTATTGTACTGTATTGTACTGTATTGTACTGTACTGTACTGTATTGTATTGTTACATAGAAATAACAGCTTCGCAATAATCCTGCCGACGATATTCAACGTGTTCTTCACGTCGTACGCGACAAGCGCGGCCGACGCCAGCTTCTGTGATCTGTTTGCTCTCTCCAACACCACCACCACTGTCAATATTGTGGACAACATCGACGGCGACGGCGACAGTCAGGTACATATAGATAGCTTTTCCAGTGTTCTCACTCTCAATTTCGAATGCGGGTTCGATTCCTCGCACGGCACTAACATTTGTATTTATGAGTATGATTGTTTGTGTTTGGAATACTCTAATGCTGTTGGCCGCAGCTGGACTTTACAGCTTCACCGGACGTTACGGGGCGAGTACAGATGACACTCCAAAGCAAAGGAAGGACTTAAGGAGCTGCTGAAGGCCAACTCCCGCCTGACGGATACGACTTTAGTTTGAGGGCACCACTAGGGGTTCAAACCTCGGCTCAGGCCGTCGTAACATCGATCCTCGTTGAATTGGACGGGGGATCGATAGGGGGTTTGTGTCGGTCTGTGTATTTTCTATATATACTAGCAGACTCGGCCACGCGTTGCTGTGGCTAAAGTTCCTGAATAAAATAATCATAATAATAATTTCTCTCCATGGGGCCCTGAACCCCGGCCGACTGTGCTTTGCCGGGGGTAAGTTGCCATCTCCTCTCCTTAAGAGGGGAGATGAGAATTGTTCTTAAGTTTAAAAAATAATAATAAACTTTATTGGCCAATAAAACACTTTACATTTAATACACATTACGGCGAATCATACTCTACACATGCAAGTCTATCGTGTGGTTCAGAGGATATCATTAGACAGACATTCAACAATGATACAAAATTTATATAAATATTAGTAGATAATAATGAATAATTGTATGTAAATATATAAACGTTAGCTAGGAAGAAAGTATATACAGTAGAAGCAATAGTATTAAAGAAATTACCGTATTCAGATCACGCAACCGTAATTATAACACCTTCTATCTTCAGGTTTACTCAAATAATACTTCTTATTATAATCCAATAGTTCGAATGTGTCGCCAATACAATGAAATTCTTGTCTCCAATACAAATATAGATATTTCTCATTCAACGCTGGTCCAGTTCCGGAGACAATTAAATTTCCACCGTATATAGAGACAAATTATATTTAACATTGTATATAATTTTCTTTTCTTTAATGTAAATAAAATTCTGTTAACATGATAATTCATTGCATTACGTAGTTATATATCATTTTCTATTTAGTTTCCTTTTCATTATATAACCTTATCTAGTGTATATTGAATGCGTCTATATAATTTAGCTCTTAGGCATACATAGTGTTGGATTACAATCCAGTTTTGTACTGAACTACACGCTCCTAGTTATATTATTATATTGACTGTAATCTGTTTTGTATGCTAATAAATAAATAAATAAATAAATAAATAAATAAATAAATGTTGTTTGTTGTTAAAGGTAGAAGCAAAAGTGTGTACAGACACAATCAACAATTTTACCATACTGGCGGGCTGCGTGCACGGCCTCTCTTTCTTCGTATTAAATGCACTTCTATCGCAATGTGCAAACAAACGGAAGGTATATATATATATTTGTTTTTATAGCCTCGGTGGTCTAGCAGCACACCCCTTTACGATTTTTGCAGGTTCGATTCCTCGCATGGTACAAACATTAGGTAGGTAATGTTTGTTTTTGATGGCCTTGGTGGTCTAGGAGGTTAGAACACCGTCTTATGGTGGTCGCGGGTTCGATTCCTCGCACGGTACAAACATTATGTAGGTAATGTTTGTTTTTGATGGCCTTGGTGGTCTAGGAGGTTAGAACACCGTCTTATGATGGTCGCGGGTTCGATTCCTCGCACGGTACAAACATTATGTAGGTAATGTTTGTTTTTGATGGCCTTGGTGGTCTAGGAGGTTAGAACACCGTCTTATGATGGTCGCGGGTTCGATTCCTCGCACGGTACAAATATTTGTATTCATGAGTATGATTGTTTGTATCGCTCTGGGTGTTTTCTATGTACAATATGTATGTATTTACAAAAAAATATGTATTAAAGTATGTGTGTACCTAAGTATTTCTGTCAGTTGTCTAGTACACATTACGCAAGCTCTGCTTAGCTAGGAACTAGATGGCTCTGTGTGAATTGTCCTGAGTAATCTATACTTCTATACATGTAAATAAAATTGGAGTGTCTGTTTGTAATATTAAAATAACCGTTTTTACTACTTGTCAGTTCTCGAAATCATTCCGAACTGACGGTAGATTTGACATATCATAAGAGTCAGTAATAGACCTACATGAATAAAGATATTTTGAATTTAAAAATATTTGATGACTATTCAAAAATGCTTCAATGTAATTTTTATAAAATGAATGATTTTCTATTTCTATTCTATTCTATTATAAAATATATTTGTACTTTGGTATTGATCACCAGGTGATGACGATAGTGATCATGGTGATAGCGGCGGCTGCAGCAGTGGGCCTGAACAACTGGAACCAGCCGATCGCTGGGCTGGTCCTGTTCTACGTGTACCTCACCACTGCCATGGTATTTGGGGTCGTCTCCTCGTATTTTGTGGACTTGTTCCCTACATCATACAGGTATTGCCTTTAATATTTCCTAACATGACATATCCGTTATGTCGTAAGAACGTATAATAAAATTATATATATAATAAGTACAAAAGCAATTCATAAAAATCTTAAAATACCGTATTAATTGCCGTACCGATTTTGAAGTAATACTTCAAAATTGTAAGTTTGAAAGACCGACGCAAGTTATTTGATATGGTATTTCTGCACAAACTTGTGAATAATAAAATAAACTCACCACTGTTACTGGCATCCATAACTTTAATGTACCCAATCGTAGATCATCTCGCTTATCACGTCCTAGTACACCATTATTTGCCCCCACCCTTGTTTAAATAGAATTTTACTGCAAACTGCTTTTTTCATCGTTGCTTAAAACAATACAATACCGAATTCTCTGGCCACTTTTACTGTCTCACTTGCAACTTATAAAAGGTCAATTTTAAAAATAACAATAAATAAAATAAATAGGCGTGATATACATACAAGGAGTTACTAAACTTTGTCTTTACTGTATTTACGGTGTACTTTTATTATTTTAAGAATAATAGATATATGTACTGTATGCATTAACCAAATTTACAAAAATCAGTGTTCATCTCTAACTGTCATATTTAGCTTATTATACTACTAATACTAGATTTAAAGACAAACTTGCTGTCCCCAAGTATCGTTTAGAAAACGTCAATAGGTCTTTTATGGGAATAGGCATAAAAATTTACAATAAGATACCAAAGGATATATTGGAATTACCCTTAAATAAATTCAAAACATCTGTTAAATCATATTTACTGAGCAAGGCCTATTACTCACTAAACGATTACTTGAATGACGAGCGTGCATGGCAATAGTTGTTCATGCACGGGATTTTCATTTAATGTTAGACATAGACACCTATATAAATACCTATGCATTGTAACAAACTTTTAAAAAAAAGTAATTCAATTGAGTTTCTTGCCAGTTCTTCTCAATTGGATCTATATAGAGAACTGGACGGTAGGGAAAAAAATATATAATGTAAAACTTGACGTTCATAAGCGGCTAAAATATCCTACATGAATAAATGATTTTTGAATTTGAATTTGAATTTAAAATTTGAATTTGAATTTAAAAACGGTTATTTTTTTTAGAAAAATGAATTTAAATTCCACGCGGACGAAGTCGCGGGTACAGCTAGTACTTAATTATGTTGCAAACGGTAACAGCAATTATATTACTATTTCCACAGAGGGATGGTAGCATGTGTTGGCATGATGGTGGCGAGGCTGAGTGCGTTCTTCGGCACCAACATCGTGAGCCGAGCCATGACCAACCACTGCGACATGACGATGTACGGCGCGGCCGGACTTGTTATTAGTAAGTACAAATAGAAATAGAAATAGAAATAGGAATAGAAATAGGAATAGGAATAGGAATAGGAATAGGAATAGGAATAGGAATAGGAATAGGAATAGGAATAGGAATAGGGATGGGGATGGGGATGGGGATGGGGATGGGGATGGGGATGGGGATGGGGATGGGGATGGGGATAGGGATAGGGATAGGGATAGGGATAGGGATAGGGATAGAAATAGAAATAATCTTTATTCAAATAAACTTAATATAAGCACTTTTGAATAGTCAAGTTTTTTTATTCTACCGCTTATTCGGAATGCAGATTCATCACAAGAATAGAATAGAATAGAAAATCATTTATTCAAATAAACTTACATTGAAGCACTTTTGAATAGTCATTACATTTTTTTAATCTACCGCTTATTCGGAAAGCTGTCTCATCACAAGAAGAATAAGCAAGAAACTTGTGTGTTGCTCTTTTAAACAATCCTTAACTTCACATTTTACAAGTCGAAACGTGTGAATACAAACTACCAACCAGCACTAATTTATTTAGGCTCAAATATAAAAACACAATATGATTAAGTCAGTCGTAGTGATAAGGGCAGACCAGTCCCTACAAGCAGCACTCGTTCACGAGTATGACGGATGAGCCAACCATCACTGCGCTCGACCATATTTTAGGGAGCCCAATGACCCGGCCCACCACGCCGCCACAAGTCTGGACATTTTAGTGAGCATGACTACTCAAAACACCAGACCACGTCAAAGCTACCCTACAATTGCCATGTGTTACTCTTTTAAATAAATATTGATTTACTAGGTACTAGATTTACTTTATAACAAGGATTAGGCATGCGACAATCAACATAGAAACCGCTACGCACTTAATCTCTGTTCAATCAGATAACATTGTCAGCGCTATGAATTTTAAGTTAGATATTTTCTACAAAAACATTATTATCATTTATAAATTCTTCAATTTTATTTACAAAGAAAATATTTTATGACACATTTGAATTTTTTTCTGGCAAATTGACTACAGACTCTGGGAGTTTGTTGTAAAACCTTACGCAATTTCCATAAAACGAATTACTAACTTTCCTCAAACGGCACTTAGGTAAACCTAGTTTTTTTTTTGTATATATTTAATCAAATTAACCTACGATTATTAATTCCAGTCAGTAAAATGACAAGTGCAACTGTCACTGATACAAAAAAGGGTGACTCGCTACAATAGTAATGTTCAGCAATCAATAGACTTAGACATTTAGTCGTGCCTTATTTTATTAGGTATCAAAGATTTTTTTTTTAATGTTAAATATTTAATACATATTCTATTAAATAATACGATTTTAGAAATATGGACCTTATGAGCATATTAAAATTTCTCACTACAACATTATTATAAATGCTGGGAAAGATGTATAAAGAGATTCAGAGGAATTAACACTAGATTATTTACATTATACTGACAAAACAAAACATTGTTCTATTATTTAGATTAGATAGACCAATTGTGCAAGTATTAGTGACGTATCAATATTTGGAGATATTGTCCGTCGGACACGATTTGTTGATACTAGTACCAAGATATTATTTCCGAAATTTCTTTGATTAGAAATACAAATAATCTTAACTTAATATAGGCACTTTTTAATATTTTTTATTCCACTTATTCGGAAGGTTGTCTTTTCTATTCTATTATTTCCATTATTGTACAATTTATTATTATGCTTGAGACATATTATAATTTTAACAATGATCATGGATGATGGTATTCTATTGTATTTACATGATATTATCAAGATAACTTTATAAATAAAACAATACTTACAGTTGATAATCACTTTTTTTATATTTTCAACAGTATTTTACAAAATCTTTTTCACACGTCCGTTCGTAACGCTTGCTGTAATCTTAATGATCTCATCGCCATTGTAGAATAGAAAACTGGGAGGTAGCTCCCAGTTTTTAAATAGTCAATACACTTACTTTTACTTTAATATATAATAATAATAATAATAATAATCTCAGGGCAATTCACACAGAGCCATCTAGACCCAAGTTAAGCTAGCTAGAGCTTGTGTTATGGGTACTAGATAACTGAAACATATACATAGATATTTTTTTTTTTTAAATACATACACATTATACATAGAAAACACCCAGACCGATACAAACAATCATACTCATGAATACTGTAATATATGTAGGTAGTTAAGCTAATCACAAATACAATTGTTGTAGGGTAGGTTGCGCTCTCTCGAATTAAATGTTATATAGTGAACGGACGTATTTTATTGTGCTCCTCAAATAACTGATATCAGTACATATTTTACAAATACAAATGTTTGTGCCGTGCGAGGAATCGAACCCGCGACCATCGGTCGTAAAGCGGTGTGCTTGACCGCTAGACCACCGAGGTCGTCCGACCTTGACAATGCAATTAGATAAAATAGTTATTAAATATGGTTAAGAAGCGTACTAGTTACTACCCTCAGGGAATTAAAATATAACAAATATATTAATCATGAATAACTGTTCATGACAATTATACTTGAGGCCAAAGACACACAAGTTTCTTGCTCGTTCTTCTTGTGATGAGACAGCTTTCCGAACGAGTGGTAGATAAAAAACAAATTGTTATGACTATTCAAAAGTGCTTAAATTAAGTTTATTTGAATAAATGATTTTCTATTCTATTCTACCACTGAGATGCACTCATCAAATCAGAAATAATTTATTCATATAGGACATTTTAGCAGCTCATGAACGTCAAGTTTTTTGTATTGTTTTTTTAGTTTCTCTAGTCATTATGTGAATAAATTAGTAATGTTATTACATATATACTAGTATACATACCAATATGACACTTATCTACCTACAGAGCGTTCAACTGACGATATACGCAATTGATATTTTTTGCAACTGTACCTTTTTTTTCTGTTCACATAATGTTATTATATTTTTTTAAGCGATCGAAAAGTAGGAATTATTATATTTTTGGTTTGTTTTACGTAAAGTATATAATAATTTGTTGAACGTCTTGTATGTAAAGCAGAACTCTTTAATTAATATATTTCTATCAAATTCATACATATACTTAAATTTGGGGAGGCAGGCCTTTGTTCAGCAGTGGAAGTCTTCCGGGCTAAAATGATGATGACTAAATAATTTTCATGCAAAATATTTATAGTATAACTGCCATACAAATACAGAGAAACATACTCAAAATACCATTTACCATTTATCAACTGATATGCTTGATTACTAACATTATGGTATAAAAAAAACAATATGCATATTGGTATTGAATAGAATAGAATAGAATAGAATAGAAAATCATTTATTCAAATAAACTTACATTGAAGCACTTTTGAATAGTCATTACATTTTTTAATCTACCGCTCGTTCGGAAAGCTGTCTCATCACAAGAAGAACGAGCAAGAAACTTGCGTGTTGCTCTTTTAAATAATTTATTATTACTTTACATTTTTAAGTTTAAGTGTGTGAATGCAAACCACCAATTAGCACTAATTCTATTAAATACTCAAATAGAAATAATATTGAATATATAACCAACTGGTTAAACAATTAATAAGAGGAAATCAGTTGAACCTGCGACTATTAAATTGTGAGGCACTTTTTTTTTTAAATTTTTTATACTACTATGGTGGCAAACAGGCATTCGGTCCATCTGATGGTAAATGGTTACCGTAGCTATGGACGCCTGAAGCACCAAGGGTGTCACGTGCGCGTTGCTGACCCTTAAGAAACCTTAATATACCCTTCTTGAAAAACCCCATGCTGTAGTCTCGTGAGAAAACCTCGGCAGGAAGTACATTCCACAAGCTCCTCTGAAACCGCACTGTTCGAGACCACTTAGGTTCCAGCGTGTGGGAATGAATTCCCTGTCGATGGCGAGCGGTGCGGTAAAAGGTGGCCGTAGGCATCATGTCGAACAATTCCTCAGAACACAGTCCGTTGTATAATCGGTAGAACGCACAAATCGAAGCGAAGTCTCGCCTCAAGCTAAGTGGTTCGATACCGCCAGAGAGATTGGGATCATCGACAATTCTCATAGCACGTCTCTGAACTGAGTCAAAAGGACCGAGCTGGTATCCAGGTGCTCCTGCCCAAAGATGAGAGCAGTACTCCATGTGCGGCCGAACTTGAGACTTATATAAGAGGTTCGCTCTATTAAGCACATCAAGTTTTTTGGACGCCAGCTTGACCTTTTCTTCGAGGTGACTACGGAACTCAACTGTCCTAGAGATGTCGATACCGAGAATCCCAATACTCTTAGAGATGGTAATGGACGTGTTCTGGAATTGCGGAGCCACAGCAAAACATTACTAAGTACCTTAGTTCGTTTTAATTGTTATTCTAATATACATACAATATTTTTTTCTGATCTTGACCTCATATATTGTCAATTACAATTTAGTGGATATCCAATAACATAAACATTTGTTTTCTATCTTTCCGGTGATGGAAACAACGCCGGTAAGTTTTTTTTAAGTTTAATGGAATGGTGCACCCGCCTGCGCTAACGGTTTACGCTGGCGGGGCACCAGTGAAGGATGATAAGATGAGCATGAGGTCAGGTCAGTTAGCCCATCGTGACAAATTCACCAAGAATTTATCATGATGGTTTCAAGGGGGAACCGCGTGGAGGTCAACCTGACATGGTACATTGCTAGCAATTCCTAACAATAACTCCATATTACTAACAATCCCCTTTCGTGGGGTAAGTCAAACCAAGTTAATCTTAGAGTCTATCTTGCCCTCGCAACTGCCAAGTTGGTGAACATGTCAAGTGTTGCTTTCACCACGAGGTTAACAGTTGGCAATACTTATGAGTCTAGCAATACTGCTGTGAAGGTATATTATCTATTAACTATACTCGTGAATGAGTGCTGCTTATAGGGACTGGTCTGCTCTAATCACTACGAGTGATTTAATATTTTTGTGTATCTAATATTTTGACCTTAATAAATTAGTGCTAGTTCATAGTTTGTATTCACACATAACAACTTAAAAATGTAAAGTTACAACGATTATTTAATGGAGTTTATCTTTTTCAAAGCAAGTTTCTTGCTTATTCTTCTTTTGATGAAACTGTTTACCGAATGAGCGGTAGATTAAAAAAAACGATGACTATTCAAAAGTGCTTAAATTTAGTTTATTTAGATAAAGTATTTCGACTTAAAAATTACGACTTCCGAATATATACAACGATTTTTAAAAGAGCAACACCTTCAGTTTCTTGCTCGTTCTTCTTGTAAAGCTTCTTCTTTGTCAGCGCCGTGACAGTTAGCCGTGACACGGCATATGCTGAGTGTCAGCCATATATATAAATAATACAAGATTATTTTTGTTGTAGTTGTTTGTAAGTAAGTGTGTATGTATGTGTATGTGTATATATGCATATGTGTGTGTGTGTGTGCATATGTATATATATATGAGAGCGTTGCCTTCCATAATTACTAAAATAAGAATATATTTATCATCATATAATTTTAAGTAGTATAAATAGTTTTAAAATATAAACGTGTTGGCAATTAACTGTAAGTTTATATTGTGTTAATTAAATAAATAAAAAATAAATAAAATAAATATGTAAAATGTACCTTTGTCAAATGTATTTTTATATCAATAATGGTTGACAATAAATGTTTTTCTTTCTTTCTTTCTTTGTAATGAGATAGATTAAAATATATGATTATTCAAAAGTGCCTCAATTAAGTATTTTTTTAATAATGGATTTTGTATTCTAGTCTATTTTATCAATTTTATTTGCATTTTTATATCAATAATGGTTGACAATAAATGTTTTTCTTTCTTTCTTTCATTGTAATGAGATAGATTAAAATATATGATTATTCAAAAGTGCCTCAATTAAGTATTTTTTTAATAATGGATTTTGTATTCTAGTCTATTTTATCAATTTTATTTGCATTTTTATATCAATAATGGTTGACAATAAATGTTTTTCTTTCTTTCATTGTAATGAGATAGATTAAAATATATGATTATTCAAAAGTGCCTCAATGAAGTATTTTTTTAATAATGGATTTTGTATTCTATTCTATTTTATCAATTTCATTTGCAGGTGGCGCGATCGCAGCCTCTTTATTACCAGCCGATACAGAGTTACTCTCAAATTAAATTAAGATAAATATTTATTTATTTCAAATTAAAAATTAAATGATATATAGTTACACAGTCCTCTCCGACTCCAATAGGAACTTGCCATCAAGATTTATAGACGGACGGACCAACTTTTACATATTAAATCTTGCTCAAAAATAACAAAATTGTATATAATTCTTACGTAATTCACTTTGTTATTTTGTTTAGAACTAAAATTTAATAAACAGAGTTACTTGTTTTATTTATAAGGTTCGATTCCTCGCACGGTACAAACATTTGTATTCATGAGTATGATTGTATCGGTCTGGGTGTTTTCTATAATAATAATAATAATCTCAGGACAATTCACACAGCGCCATCTAGACCCAAGTTAAACTAGCTAAAGCTTGTGTTATAAGTACTAGACAACAGATATAAATACATAGATACATTTTTTTTTGTAAAGAAATACATATTATACATAGAAAACACCCAGACCGATACAAACAATCATACTCATGAATACAAATGTTTGTACCGTGCGAGGAATCGAACCCACGACCATCGGATAGTAAAGCGGTGTGCTAAACCACTTGACCACCGAGGCTCTCAAATGTATAATATGTATGTATTTACAAAAAAAAACTAGTCACTCTGGTTCTTCTGCGGATCTCCTCATTTCTGATTCGATCACGCAGAGAAACTCCGAGCATAGCCCTCTCCATTGCCCTCTGAGTGACTCTGAGCTTGTTGATGGGGCCCATAGTTAGCGGCCACGTCTCTGTTCCGTAAGTCATCACTGGCAACACACATTGGTCGTAAACCTTCGTCTTGAGACACTGCGGAAATTTGGACGAAAAGATATATCGGAGCTTCCCGAACGCTGCCCATCCGAGTTGGATTCGACGATTGACCTCTTTCTCGAAAATGGATCTACCTAGCTGGATAGTTTGCCCTAAGTATACGTAGTGATCGACAATTTCGAGTGTAGAATCTCCGATTTTTACGGGAGCAGGTACGATAATGATGTTATATACTGTGTTAAAATCTTAAGGAGTATGTTACATGTATGTTTTAAATGAATCAATAAAATTAAGTTGCTCTAAAATGTAAGTTTATATTAATTGTAAATAGTAATTAGATTTATTTAAATTATAAAACACAGTTTTATTTCATTATACGGATTGATCTTCTTTTATTAATTTATAACTAAACAATTATTATATTAGTACTCAATAAATGAATTCATCATTGTATTGCCTTTATCCCACTATTTGTGGTCGGCGCAGTATGTCATTCTCTTCCACTGCTCTCTATCGGTCGTCATATCTGAGCATACTCTTCTTTTATTCATATCATCTTTCACACAATCCATCCATCTTTTCTTAGGGCGTCCCCTCCCTTTACATCCATTCACATTCATATTATACATTTTCCATAAGATGTGGTCCTCGTTCCTCCGCATAACATGTTCATATCCATAATAAATTTACTGAAATAATAATAATAATTGACGGGGTCAGTGATCTAACGATTTAGCACCTCGTTTTACCTCCAATAGTAGCGGGTTCGATTCCTCGCGCTATTTTTTATTATGTTTTTAGTAAAAAACCATTATTTAAATATTTCTATCAAATGTATAGTACACATAGTACAATCTTAATTTGGAATTAGATGAAATGAAAACTAAATGGCGCTGTTTGAATTGTCAAGGCTTATGATTATTATATTAATGTTCTAATGTTTTCAGTACAATACAATATTTTGGTAGTAAAATAATTAAGACCAAACTGATAGTAAATAATAATAATAATAATAATAAACTCTTCATTGTGCACACAGAAGAAAAGCAATAAGAAAAAACAGTAACTAAAAATTTTATAACAAAAGGCGGTCTCATCGCTATAAGTAATTTCTCACAATCAACCTGCTAACAAACAATAGGTCTAACCTACATAGAAGAGGTAGATGGGTGTGCCATCTACCTGAAACAAGCACACACCTGACTATCTACAAGACACTATAATTATAAAACGACTAAATACACATCTTCTTCTTCATTGTCGGTTCCTCAAGACTGAGGGTCGTGACCACCAGGAATGCTCCTTCCAACCAATACTCTCCAGGCATTTCTATCTTGTGCTAAATGGATTGTATCTTTTGTTTGACTGTATCTTTTGTTTGACTGCTTCTCGTCCAGGATCAGTCCAACGTGCAGGTGCCCTGCCTCTGCCCCTTCTACCGTCCACGTGGATAAATACATCCGTCAAATATACATACAAGCAAATAAATCTTCTTCTTGATCCTCGCCTCTTCCCGTTACTCGGGGTCGGCTATTCTAATCCTGGGGCGCCATACATTTCGCTGGTAAGCATCGTCATTTGACAGGCCCAACTCCTTCATGTCCCTATGGACATTTGTCAACCAGGTAGTTGGTGGCCTGCCCCCCTGAACTGGTTCCAGGACTTAGGTGGACCACTATTTGAACATAATGATTTTATTTATATATTTTGACACCATACAGATTTTCTGTAATTACATACCATCAATATATAATATAATACTAGCTGTCCCGGCAAACGTTGTTTTGCCTTAAAATAAAAAATAAAATTTTTAGGGGTGGACTACCCCTAACATTTAGGGGGATGTTAAATAATGACACTGACAAACAAACCGCAGTCGCCATCTTTTCATTTCACTAGCAATTTCTTCGGTCGTTGACGTTTCGCGAAAAAATCTTTTTATTAATTAGTTTACGGCTCTGGATACAAGCCCTTTTTAGCCAACTTAAAGTTTTACAAGATAATAAAAATTATTTGTATAAAAACTTTTGCACTTTTTATTTACTACATTTATTAAACACAATGAACGAAGCTTTACAAATCTATACGCTCAGCCAAGCCGGGTTTTCAAAATTTCATGAGAATCGGTCAAGCCGTGGACTTAACATTTAGGGGAAGAAAAATAGATGTTGGCCGGAGGGAGTATGGGAACGAAAACTGTGACACGAGAATTTTATATATAAGATAATAAATTTGTACATTATTAAAATACCTACTTTATACTTGTATCCATTGTTATCAAAATTAAATCATAAGTTCTAGACTTGACCACGACTATGTGACCCCCTCCTGGCGCCAAAGCTGGATCCGCCCTTGCCTATACCAGACAAACACCGGATAAATAATAGCGGCCCTATAATATCCGCTAAAAGCGGATCGAATAGTGGATTCGTTAAAAGAATTTATTAAAATCAGTTCAACAGATTTGACTGAAATACTGCGCAACAGAATTGTATGAGTATATTATTGATTGTATGGTAATATACATATTATTAGTGTTAAAAATACTTAAAAAACACGTAAAATTTATATTTTTCATAGGTGGCGTGATCATTTGACGTCAATGTGTTAACAATATTGTAATTTTTGATGAACAAAACACATCTCGTAGGTAGGTAACGCTTATTACATACAAGGGGCCGTTAATACGTGATCTTTTTTAAGCATTTTTTAACCCCCTCTGCGACTTGGTGATATGTAGTGAGGTTTAAAACTACCCCCTCCCCCACTCAACATCACGTGTACTTTTAGCACCTACAAAGAATCTTAAAATTTTTAGAATATTATATGTAATTAAAGGTATAAAGTATAATCATATTTTATTCTGAAATTAAGGACCAAGATAAAAATATCTAGACAGAAAGGTTGCAGATTGTTTTTGATTGGCATAAAATAAATACACGTGATATGATTTCCGGTTCACAATCCGTTGTGTAATTTTGAATTCAAATTCAAATTCAAAAATCATTTATTCATGTAGGACATATAAGCCGCTTATGGACGTCAAATTTTTACATTATTGTTTTAATTTTTTCCCTACCGTCCAGTTCAGTATATAGATCTAATTGAGAAGAACTCAATTGAATATTTCTTTTTTAAAAACCAGTTCATTTACAGTGTATATTTATATAGGTGTCTATGTTTAACATTAAATAAAAGTACGTACGTAAGACATATATTTTATACCTAACTGTACTGTCCAGTTGGGCTAGTTACTTGCATCTCTAGGCTAAAAGATCTTCCAAAATCTAGCATTAAACGCATCTATGTGTTTTAATCAGTGTCTTCAATTTTTAAAAATACCCTACAAGTTCTATTTATACTAGGTATATAATCATTACATAGTATAAAACAAAGTCGCTGTCGCTGTCTGTCCGTTCCTATGTATGCTTAAATCTTTAAAACTACGCAACGGATTTAGAAGCATTTTGGTTGTTTTTTAATAGATAGAGTGATTCAAGAGGAAGGTTTATAGAATAGAAATAATCTTTATTCAAATAAACTCATTACAAGCACTTTTGAATAGTCATATTTTGATTCTACCACTCATTCGGAATGCAGATTCATCACAAGAAGAATGAGCAAGAAACTTGTGTGTTGCTCTTTTTAATAGATGTTTTTTTTATATAAATAATTACAGTATAACAAGTAAGAGGCATGCGATAATCAACATAGAAGTCGCTACGCACTCATTATTAATGTAATCAGATAATATTGTCAGTGCTATAGATTTAAAGTTTTTCTATAAAAACATACATATTATAATAAATTAGATGTACACGTGGTGTAATTTATATAAAATTATATTTAATAATTAGCTGTACTCGCGACTTCGTCCGCGTGGAATTTAACTTAATTTTTCTAAAATAAAAGTTGCCTAAGTTACTGCTTATTACATCAACAACCTGCCAAAAAAACACGTCAAAATCGGTCCAGCCATTTCAGACATTAGCCGGAACAAACAGACCGACAGACAGACAGACAAAAATTGTAAAAAATGTTATATAATTTATATTTATATATTTAATAATTAGCTGTACTCGCGACTTCGTCCGCGTGGAATTTAACTTAATTTTTCTAAAATAAAAGTTGCCTAAGTTACTGCTTATTACATCAACAACCTGCCAAAAAAAAGTCCCGTCAAAATCGGTCCAGCCATTTCAGACATTAGCCGGAACAAACAGACCGACAGACAGACAG